GGGGCGGCGGCGCCGCCGAGCGGAGCCCGGGGGAGGCGAGGGGAGCGCGGCCGAGCTGAGGGGAGCTGAGGTGAGAGCTGAGGCCCCCGCGCCTCCCGAAGCCCCCGGGACGGCCCTGGCAGCGCCGCGCCCCGCGGGCCGGGCCGGGGGCGGCAGCAGGGCTGGGCCTGCCGGGGCGGGGGGCGGTCGGACCGAGCTGCCGCAGGGCCCGGGGGTTGGTTGGGTACGACTCACCTGGGACCCCCGGGGACCGGCGGCCGCGAATCTGCCCCGATGCGAGCTGCGGGGAAGGTACCGGCCTTCTCTGTAGTGTTACTTGCTCGCCAAGACCGAAGTTCCTCTGGTGGAATGAATGGGCTCTGGCTGCTCTTTAGATCTGAGTCAACAAAAATCACATGGAAAACATAACGTGGTAAAAAAAAAAAAAAAAAAAAAAAAAAAAAAAAAAAAAAAAAAAAAAAAAAAAAAAAAAAAAAAAAAAAAAAAAAAAAAAAAAGAAGGTGAAACCGCCAGAAACAAGCCGTTTGTTGCCCAGGAGTTAGATAAATGCACGGACCTTAGGGCAGCGAAGCTGTCACACAAACCCCGTGTGCCTCTCTCTTTTCCTCCGCAGCGTCCCGGTCCCTCCAACACTTTTGTGTTACCCTTTTTCGCCCTCCCCTTAATTTTCTGCTGCTGTGCTCTCCTAGCAGTGCTGTGACACGGGCTGCTGCGGGCAGTCACACCTGGGAGGGTTACGGCTGGTGGGCGCCATGGGTGTGCTCTGCGAGCCCATTAAATGTGTTGCAACCTGTTTTAAGTTAGTAACACTTCTTTTAAAAAGTCTCGTTGTGTTGTTTAGGTTGGAGACCGGTTAGCACCGCGGCTGTGCCTGGTGTCGCTGCTGTTTGAGCGAAAGCTCCACTTGGGTACTGAGCTGTCCTGAGCTGTCGAGGTGCCCGTTTTAACTGGACACTGCGGTTTCAGGATGATATTGATGAGTTCCTGCTGTAATGAGACCAAAACAACCACCTCAGTTCAGGGCTTGTTTTTGTTTGTTGCAGGGCTGTCCCTGAAGCATGGCGGTTAAGTGGAGCGGGGGGCATTCCTCCTCTGTGCTGTGCCTGGCCGTGAGCGCGGAGGGGCTGGTGGCCTCCGGCGCGGAGCGGGGCGAGCTGGCGCTCTGGGACGGGGCAGGCTCGCCCGTGGCTCAGCTGCGGCTCCCGCAGGCGGAGGACGTGACCTCGGTGGTGTTCTCCGCCCGCCGGCCCGGCACGCTGTTCGCCTCCCACGGAGAAACCATCAGCGTGCTGGATGTCCGCTCCCTCCAGGAGCCCCTGCAGCGCTTCCACGTGAACGAGGAGGAGATCAACTGCCTCTCGGTGAACGACGCCGACAGCTTCCTGGCTGCGGCCGATGACTCGGGGGCCATCAAGGTTGTGGACTTGGAAAGCAAGAAAGTCAGCCGGTCCTTGAGACACTCCAACATCTGCTCGTCTGTTGCCTTCCGACCTCAGCGGCCTCAAAGCCTGGTTTCCTGTGGACTGGACATGCAGGTGATTTGCATACGTGTGCACGGTTATTAATGAAGTGAAACAGTAATTACCCACCTGGGTAGTGAGGCACCCGCAGACTTTCACCGAGCACGAAGGTGTTCGGCCTGCAGTCACTGGAAAGCTCCCTCACTATTCTGAAGTAGTTTTGGCCCAAAACCTAAGTGTTGGGGCTGTTGGTGCTCTGTTCCACTCAGCAGCTTCCGCCCCTGTTTTTATCTTCATCGACATTTACAATTCAAAAGTGAGTGGGGTGAGGGGAAATCAGAATACACTGCAAAGCTCACTTGTGCTGTACTAGCTCTTTGTTGGACTGAGCAAAACCAGCAGCTGTCCCTAGGGATCAGGTGTGGCTGCAGATGAGGTGCAAAGGATGGTGAGGAAAAGGCACAGTGCTTGAGGCAGGCAGGTAGAGCAGCATCTTTCCAAGTGGAACATACCGCTGTGAGGACAAGTGATTTGTATAATTTATCCTTTGTTCTGTTACCATCTTGGAAGCATGAAATGTTCTTTGCCTTTTAAACTTTCCTGTCCTCATCTGGAGGAAACTTTGTCCTTTGCATTTCTGAGAAAAGAATACAAAGGACATGCTGAGAGTTAAGCCCAGAACAGATATATTTCAGTAATTTCTTTCCAGTGGTTGAGGTCTGACCACATTCCTGGTTTAGCCTGATATGAAAACTGTCACTTCTCGAAGGTTTCTGTGGTTCCAGTGGTGTCAGGGTGAAGTTTGTGTGACAGGTTTGAGCAGTTTCACCCCTGTGTTCTTGAAACCAAAGTACATCTCACACCCATTAGAGCAAATACATGCTGATTTTTAGCATAAACTGTGTTTTTCTGTGTTAAAGCCATGGTGATGAATCCTGTTTGGGAGGAGTAAAGACTCAGTGTTGTGGTGTATGCAACTCAGTCCCTCAGCTGGCTTAATTTTGGTCCCTAAAATGCAGATACACAAGCTTGTGGCTGGAAACTTTTTATCAGAATTGTAAACATTTATGTAGAACTTGGTACAAGTGAGCTGATTATTTTTTGTGACTTTTAATACTGGTTTCATTTATTGTAGCTCAACAAGTTGGTTTTTAGGTGAAAGTCAGTATCCCAAAACGGGATTTCACTAGTGTGCTTTTGTACAGTGAAAAGAGCATCATTCTGCATTGAGGCTGTATTTAAGATACACAATTTCCCAAAGGGGAGCTTAGCTGCAGAACCCTGAAGCCCTGTGCTGCACCATGCCTTTGGACAAGTTATGAGCTCTACAAGACATGTCCTGGGCTTATCAAACCCTCGGGGAAGCCGTGGCTGGTGAGAACTGAAATTCAGGTTCCTGGAGTTCTTTCAGGAGTTTTGATGAAGGAGGAAAATGCCATGAGGACAGAAAATACTTAGTTTGCAGAAAACTCTTCAGCAGTTGATGGATTCATCAGATTGTTGCAGTCCTGTCTCTGATGAAAACAGGAGTATTTTCTGTAAGCATCACGCAGCCCCTCTGATTTACAGTAAATCTCAGTTGTTGTGGAAGTAGTTTTAGTGCAGCAGCAACAGCAGTAACTGAAACAGGAAAGTGACAGGAAATATATTTCAGATGTTCTAGTGTGATTTGGATTCCAGAAATGCAGAGCCAGGCTCTTTTGTGAACTAAATTTAAAGACTTCTTATTGGTGATTACTACTGAAGGAGTATTTTTATTAATAACAAATTGCAGCTTAGCTTTATGAAGCAAACAGTACACCAGTGCTGCATTAGACTGACGTGTGCTTTTCAGTCTGTTGGCCTTGAGAATGCTCATTGTCAATCCAGATCCTATAAAAGTCTTGAGAGCATTATTTTTAATTGCCTCAGTATAAATCTGTAGTGCTTGAACTGCTGTACAAGAGACACAGGATTCTTCACTGGGGGCTTGGAGGTGGGGTAGCATTGGAAAAGGAAGTCTAAAAGCACGACCTGCCCCATCTCAGTAGGTAAAGCATGCCCTACTCCATAGCACAAACCAGATCTAATCACTGGATATAAAAATACATACAAATATGCCTGTTTAAAAACCATAGCCTCAACTGCTGTTTGCCTTTTGCTGTCCCACTTTTCAGACATCTTTGTGGAAGTGACTATTATAGGCCAAGCAGCAGAGACAGAAATGCAGAATGATAATGATCTCTGTTCACTGCTAGGGTTTCCCTGTCCCTCCTTCTCAATAATTGATGTGCAGTGTATCATGATTACTACTGCTGAGATGAATGCAAAAGCTTTTAGAGCAGTGTTTGCATCTCTTCCGTGGTCTGAAGGTCTGAGTCATTGACTGCAGAGTGTGGTGCTGGGGCTTTGGAAAGCAGGCCAGAAAGATTTGCTACATTTGCTACATTTATTAGGGCAAGTTTAACCCCACCTTACACCCCTTGGACTCATGCACAGCCTTTGCTCTGCTAGGACAAGAAGTGTGGTTGCTTATTTTATTATTCAAGATCCCATTTGAAGTAAAACACACAACTGATTCATCGTGCTGGGTTTTTTTCCAGGTCATGCTGTGGAACCTGCAGAAAGTTCGTCCCTTGTGGACCATGAACCTGCAGGAGTGTGACATGGAGGAAGAGAGCCCACAGTCAGCTGGGCAGTTCTTCAACCCGCCGCTCGCACATTCCCTGTCTGTCGCCTCGTGCGGCAACGTCTTCGGCTGTGGAGCTCAGGATGGTAAAATCCGAATATTCCGAGTCACCGGTGCCAGGTTCGAACATGAGCTGGAGTTCCAGGCTCACAGCTTGGGAGTCTCTCAGGTGCTCTTTATGCCTGAGGCATACCAGTTGTTGTCTGGAGGAAACGATGGGAAAGTCTTGCTCTGGGATGTCAGCAGCAACGTTGGGAAGCAGCAGAAAAGTCCAGCGAAGTCTCTGCACAGGAGGAAAGCCCAAGCGGCTGCTTCCAGCAGAAAAGATGGGAAGCTCAACAAAGCGACCTCAAATGAACACCCTGGAGTTGTGCCAAAGCTCAGCATTGAGCACGGAGAGAAGGTGAACTGGCTGTCATGTGCAGAGATCAAAGGCTCCAGGAGAGTGTTGGTTGCTGACCAGAGCAGCTCTGTATCAGCCTATCCATTGCCAGAACCTTAAGGCAGCCAGGTGCTTACAGAAGTCTGGGGGACAAAACCACTTCTCAGAGCCAGTTACATCCACTGACAGTGAGCTGGACAGTGAACCCCTCTGGGTCCCTGGGAAGGGAAGGGGTTTGCTGTGCACTGGCCTCGTGCTGGTTCTTTGTGGCTGTTGTGCTCACAGCCACTCTCTCTTGCAGGGTTGGCAGTTTGCTGCTTGAATTTAAGTGAAACGGGTCTCTATATTTAGGGGTAACATTAGTTCATGGCTAAGCTGATGTAATTAAGGCTGGAGGAGAAAATTAGTGCTCAGGAGACACCCACAATGCTAAGTGAGGCTTCTGAGCAGTAGCAGGGCTGTCACTGGCTCAGCTCTGTGTAGTTTGGGCTGTTGCAGTGCTCCGTGTGAGTTCTCCCATGAAGCTGTGTCCCAGTTGGCTTGAACTGGTTATGGTGGAATCTGGTTTTCATTGCTCTGTCAGCAGCTGCATAGACTAGAGATGCATCAATTAATGAGTAATCAAATGAGTTTCCCTGTGGTTGCCAACTGAATTTTTTCACTGTAGCAAAAGAAGGAGCAGGGGAACTGTTACACCTGTTTGCTGGGTCAGCTGTCAGTTAGTTGTGTATCCCAGGGAAAAAGAACTATTACACTTGTATTAATAAATGCTTTCTCAGTCACTGTTCCCTTGTCCTTAGAATCACTCTAATAGTGCCAGCCTCACACAAAATTGTGTCAAAAAGTTTATTGTACCCCCATCACAGGGTGAATACGAAGGGCCAAAGGCACAGCTTCTACTTACCCAAATACTTCCTATCTTCCCAAAGCTTTGAAACGCAATGAGCAGAACTTGGCTTGCTATGAGCTTCCCTTCATTTGCAAATTGAAGGTAGGAAGACCTAAGTGGAAATGTTACAGCTCTGGACATTTTCCGTTCATGCTGGATTTTCCATGAAGTGGGCAAATAATTTTTTTAAAAAGAGGTTTTTTTCATGGGCTATCCTTATCCTATCACAGAACTGAATTCCTAGTGCTTGCTGAGGACCTGCTGCACTGATGGGAGGCTTGGGTTTGTGCTGCTGTGTTTCACCAACTGGGTTGTTACCAGACTCATATTATATTGAAAAATTTTCTAGCTCTTTTTTTTTACATACCCAGCTCTGGCAAATCATTATCTGGTTGTGCTGCCTCTCTCCACCCTTTATGGAGGAGATTCCAACTGTCTTGGTTTTGCTCAAAGCAGCTCCCTGCCACCAAATACAAACTCATCCAAATCAGATTTTACCTTCATACCTTTTTAATTAAAAATACCAAAGGCAATCTGCTTGTACAGCCTTTCCCAGCAGGAGACTTTGGCCCAAGACATGATCTGGTGGGCGCAACAGCAAATCAAAGCCAAAACACAGCAATAAAAAAAAAAAGCTGAAAATTGTAGTTGCTCCCTTTTGTGTTTCCTGTGAATTAGTTCATCTGTGAAGACATGGGATCAGTGGGGCAGAGGAAGGGGTCAGGTTGGGCTGTGTGGTTCAGTGCGTGATATGTCCATGAACGTGTGTTGGTGCATCCATGACCTATATTTGGATATACAGGCTATAAAAAGCCTGGGAACAAACAACCTCCCGCAGGACTCGGATCCCCTGTCCCTGCTGTTGCTGCCGGCTGCAGGAGAGAGGAGCGAGCCCGCTCCAGCTCTTATTTCTCGTCTTGGTGTTCTCCAGGAAGATGGCGAAAGCCAGCATCTCCCTGCACTCCCTGAACGAGACGCTGAACAGGTCCTGCGGGGCTAGGGAGGGCACGGAGGGCTGGGGCATGGGACACCAGGCTAACCTGTGCTTCTCTGGAAACTTCTGTGGGCAGCAGGGTGTGAGCACACATCGGGTGTATGCAGGGAGGGAGGAGCTCATGAACAGGATTCATCTCTCCTTCACTCGCTGGGGAGGAAAGAGGGAGCTCCATGGTGGTGTTCATTCCCTGGCTGTTTGCTGCAGGATTTGGGCAGTTGCTCCATCACCCATGGCCTGCAGCTGCATGAGGGCACTTGGTCTGTTCAGCCTGGGGGAGACTGAGGGGAGACCTCACTGAGGTTTACAACTTCTTCATGAGGTGGGGAGGAGGGACAGACACTGATCTCTGTGGTGCCCAGTGACAGGACCTGAGGGAACGGCCTTAAGTTGTGTCAGGAGAGGTTTTGGTTGGATATTAGAAAAACATTCTTCTCCCAGAGGGTGGTCAGGCACTGAAGAGGCACCCCAGGGAATGTCACAGCACCAAAGCTGCCGGAGCTCAAGAAAAATTTGGACAATGCTCTTGGGCACAGGGTGGGATTGCTGTGGGGGGACAGGAGTGCATCCAGAAGTTGGATCTGTGTGGATCCTTTCCAAGTCAGCATATTCTGTGTTTCTGTGAAATTTGGGCTTGCTGTTCTAATTGGAGATTTGAGGTGAACTTCTGATTTTCAAACCATGCCTCAGAGGACGGTTCAAAGATAGGGAATAAGTGGTTATCATGAGCAATAAAACCCCACAAGAATGGACCTTAAAAGTTTAAGGAAAGCAAATCACCATTACTGGGGAATCAGGTCATAGGTGATGCTGATTCACCCTCCATTTCCAAAGCCTGCACTTGGCAGAGGAACGTGACCAACAGGTTCATGACTTCCTGAAAAATAATCCAGCCTCAGCTGCCCCCGCTGGCACTGATCCGTGCTCGGCTGTGCAGCAGCAGGCACCAGTGGTGGTGGCTCAGAGCAGATATAAAGATATGAGCATGGATGTTCAGGAAAAAAAATAAAAAGAGGGTCTGAAATTCTCAGCAGTTAGAGGAGGCAGGATACTGTCCCCACTCTCTGGATTTTCACATTACTGGGAGGGAGGTGAGGCCCTGGCGCAGCTGTAGCTTCCCCTGGATCCCTGGCAGTGCCCAAGGCCAGGCTGGATGGGGCTAGGAGCAACCTGGAACAGTGGAAGGTGTCCCTGCCCATGGCAGAGGGTGGAATGAGGTGGGCTTTAAGGTCCTTCCAACCCCAAGCATTCTGGGATTCTACGACATGTTACATTTAAAGGCAAACTATGCAGTGTTGAGACACTTAAAAGTCAAATTAGGTGTCATACATACAACTGTGGTTTACCTGCAGTAAAAAGGATCCCTGTCAAGAGTATCACAGCTGATGGGATGCAGTACTTCTGCTCAGGAAATGAATGATTATGTGTTGACAGACAGACAGCTGACAGACTTGGAAAGAAACTGCTCCTCTTGTCGAGATACTGCTCATACTGTTGGCTCACCCACAGCCTTTATGACTCTGCTTCACACAATGGTGAACACAAAAGCAGCTATTGGAGACCTGACCAGAGGGAGGAACGATGAAACAACTCCTGAAAGAAAAAAGTGAAAATTAATTCTGTGGGAAACCGCTTGAAGAAGTATGTGTCTAATGTACCATGGAGCGAGGGAATGGGGAGAGCTCAGATGTGGGATGCTGCACTGGCCTGGAAAATCAAACCCACGGAGTGACAGCTCTAAAATGTCATTTTCTGTAAATGCCTGAATAGCAGATAAGGTTTTACATAGAAGCACACTTGAGAGAATTGGGAATGCTGGAGCTTCTACTGCGTGGCTTCCAAGTATGTTCTGTGTGCTAACAAGAGAGGAATTTTAAGAGCTTTCTGGTAAAGAATGGGGATGTGGTTTGTTTGTACACTAGTCAGAGTTAGAGGTCACTGACTTAGTGGTAATTTCACTTACATTAAAGGAAAAAGTGTTCAGAGGTCATGATGGAAATGAAAACAGGAGGTTTAATCCATTCTTCCTCTTTTCATTCCAAACTTAGATCAAGAGGCAGCAGCACTCGGTCTATCAGAATTCAGTTACAGCTGTGGGAGTTCAGTTATGGATCTACCGTGGTATAACTGAACAGACATTTTTAGATCCAAAATTAGCAAATGCTGAAATGTTTGTTGCAGGTGCTTAAAAATACAGAAGATTAATTTACAGACAGGCAATAAAAAATGTTAGAGAGACAAAACTGGTCAAATAGTAAAGCATTGGACTGAAGCCTGCTGAGAAACCACTGCTGCACTGAGTACCATTAGTGATGAGATCTTAGATAACTTCACCCTTACTTGTACAGGAGGAAGTTGGAGAATGGGCTGTGAGGAAGCTTATTTACCATGATAAAAAGCTGCAGACCAACAATTCACGGGCAAGAACACTCATTATCTGACAACCCAGCTCTGAAAGTCACAGCAAACCCCAACTCACCTCAGTTTCTGCACTTGCTCTCTCCGTGCTGACAGATTCGATCCAATTATGACACATCAATCCTTCCAGTTCTTCTGAACTCCCTGCATTTCTACATGACACCAGCTTAGTTTTCCAAATAAAGTTCTATTTTCGTCCCAAAATTCTTGCTGAAGCAACAGGAGTCCTACAACAGTAAGAGGAACTTCGCCAGGCTGCAGGGGAAGCCTCTAGCCTCAGAAAAGAACAGAAAATCGTTAGACAAGGATCTGCACAAGCGGCCAGACAATGAATTAAGGTCGAGGATACTTAGTAAAATATGCCACTGGTAAATCTTTTTTTTTCTCCTCATTCAGGTCAGCTGCAGACAGAATCCAAAGTAAGGTTTGGTTTGGAGAAGGGGAGGCAGGAGTAGAGGCAGGGAGGGAGAGGGAGGAGCTGCTGATAGGAAAAAATGGCATTTTTGGTCCATCTCTTAGAACAACAGGCATTAAAATACCGTGGGATACATGTCAAAGAATGGAAAAATGTTTGAAGGGTTTTGTTTTGGCTTTTTATTTTTTAATGTCATCACCAGCTGCTGTGTGTTTTGTCCTTACAAAAAGTTCATCCAAAGATACAGGTAACAGAATGTTTAACACAGGTAGGTCACAGAAGCAATGGAACAAATTAGGAATGAAAAAAGATAAGGAAAACTATGTAGATAATAATATTTGCTGATACTGTAGTTATTGTTAGCTGATAGAGCCTGAAGTTTTGCCAGTAAAATAAAAAGAAAAAATCACAAAAAATTCTGTAAGGAGTAGGTGATGCTCTGCTAGTAAATTACTATTGCCTACATAGTACTGAGATAGTTGTTCAGTACTTAGGAAGGAACTTTGAATTATTTACATTAGCTTTCAGATCCTCAGGATTCTCAAGAACACAGCTCAATGTCAATCAGGTAAGTGAGGAAAATGTGAGAAAACTAGGTTTATAAAAACCACCCACAGTGACAGAAGCCTAGCACACACTGTCTCCCCAGGAAAGAGAAATGGGTAGAAAAATAAATACTGGCATTCCCTTGTATCTTCTCTCAATACAGCAAGTTCTTTTAAACAAGGCAGTTTTCTTCAGCAAAAGTGGAGTGGCTTAAAACTCAAAACCTCATCTTTATAATTTACAATTTTAAATAGGGAAAACCACAACAGATAGCAAATAATGAAAAAGGAGATAATAAATACAAGCTATGAAGTAGTTTTTATCACAGTTGTTCCATGGAAGGACAGTGCCATTTAAAAAAAAACCAAAAAAAAAACCCACTGTAAGTGGCTTGTTTATTATTTGCATAATTTTTAACCAGAGGAGGAAGAAGTTCTGCTCAATGTTAAATGAAAATGGTTCAAAAGACCGTTACATTACAAATAAAAGATAAATCACCTCAAAATGTGTTAGAGAAAAACAAAAGACCATGACATTGCAAATAAAAGATAAATCACCTCAAAATGTGTTAGAGAAAAACCTGTGCCACTGATAATACATGTGGTTGAGAGCCACAGATATGTCTACATACTCATTGTGCAGCTGTATTTGGAGATGTCAAGATCTCTGCACCAGGCAACGGCCAAAAATATGTGACAACAAACCTTGACTTTTAGTTGTGTTTGTTCTCACAAACCATGGGAGGACGCCCAGAACGGGGTCTGAAACTGTTCACGATGCAATGTCACGGCAGAAAGCCCCAAATCCTTCCGAAATTCCCTTAAATTCTCGTTTTCCACCGCCCAGAGTAGAAAGCAGGCTGCTGTCGCTGGAGGCTCGGTTCGCACAGCTGGACTCCAGCCTGCAGACCCTGGCGCACGACTTTGAGCGGCAGGCCGAGATGCTGGAGGCGGACCTGAGGCGGGATGTGCCGTGGGCACCTGCGGCCAGGTGAGCTCAGCCAGGGACCAAAGCAGGGAGCAAAGCCCGGCTCCCAGCCGGCCTTGGGTACTGCAGGGCACGGCGCGGCCACGGCTCCGCGGGGCAGGCTGTGCCAGCGCCGCAGCACCCTCACAGGGAAGGTTTCATCCCTAACATGCCACCTAACGCGGCTCTCTGGCTGTGGGAAGCCGTTCCCGCCCTGCCCATCACGACAGCAGAGCCCGCCTTCCCCCTGAGGGACCGCGGCCTCTGTGTCCCAGCAGGCTCGGCGGAGCGGGTGGAAGAGGAGAAGGAGGAGACAGGAGAAGAGGAGGAGGAGGAGAAGAAGGAAGGAGAAAAGGAGAAGGAGGAGACAAAGGAGGAGGAGGCGGAGCCCTGAGGCGGGCGGCGGGAACGGCTCCCGAGTGAGGGGCGGAGCGGAGCCGCCATTGCGGGAGCCGCGGCCTTTCGCGGCCTCCGGAGCGGTGGGTGCCAGTCCCGCGGGGACCCTCGGGGCTGGGGGTGACGGGGCCGGAGGGGGACGAGGGGCTCCCTTTTCGCTGGGCGCCGACGTCCTGGGCGTTATTTTTTTGTCAATAAAAATAGCGGAAATAATAAAACTCGCCTTAACGTGTATTTGTCTCCCTGGAGAGTTCTCTGTGAGGAACGGCAGCCTTTCTTTCAAGGGCCGCCTGTCTCTGAAGCTGCCTGTTTAAGAAGCTTGTAACTTAAATGTCGGTGGGTTTATGCTTTTGCTATACGTGTCTTTTGTTTTCTCTCCCACAGTATTGCTGGGCCAAGTGGAAAAATCGTGAGGACACAGATGACCCCCACAGTGTCAAGTCATACAAGAAGGTGCTGAAGTTTTAATTCTTCATTTATCTTAAGAAAAAAGGAATTTTAGCTTTTTAGTCCTAGCTTAAACAAGCAAATGAATGAGGAAGAAGCTGCTCTGCTCTGGTGTATTTCACCGTCAGGACATGCTGAAAGCAAGCTTGTGCCAAAAGCAGCTCTCAAGGGATGTGCACGTACTGAAAAAATGAGTGAATGGAAGGTTAAGGTAACTGGAATAACATCCAGCACATCTTATCATAGACAGGGAATGATGGAAGAAGAGGGGAGTAACAGAGGTGGTCGGAAGAACTCTCACCTTCTTTTCCCCCCTCTCCTTACCACCTCCTTGCTATCCCGAAAGCATCTGTTACAGCTCACAGGAAAACCTGGTACAGTTTTTCCATGATTTCTGTAAAGCTCTGCTTCTTCCTCAGGAATCTCTAAGGCTCTGAGAAAAGCAACCACTTAAGCAGGCTTCTAAACCTACTAACATTTTCTTGAAGTAGCTGTAAAACATTTTGTATTTTACTTCCCATAAGGAACATAAATGTTTGTTTTTGCTTTCAGGCCCTGATGTTGTCCTAAGTGCTGCTCCTCTCCCTCAAGTCAGTATGTCGAAGATACCCACGGCCCCGCTTTCCTTGTCCGACTGCCTCTGCCAAATTTGCATGGAGATCTTTGTGGAGCCTGTCACGCTGCCGTGCAGCCATACCCTCTGTAATTCCTGCTTCCAGATGACCGTGGAAAAGGCCAGCCTCTCTTGCCCCTTCTGTAGGCGTCGAGTCTCTTCCTGGGCACGCTACAATACCCGCAGAAATACTCTCATCAACTGGGAGCTCTGGGAGAAGATTCAGAAGAATTACCCAGAGGAGTGCGAGCGCAGGATGAACGGGCAGGATTTGGATGAGGAGAGTAAGTGAAACGTCACTTGTCCTGGGATGTCTCTGCTTTGCCACAGGAATTACTGTGAGTGACTTCAGGTGTTGGGAAATACAGAGCTGTGGGTAGGCAGGTGTGTTACTGCTGGCAGAGACAGAGCTCTCCTGCAAAAGAGGCAGGGGACAGGTGGGCAATGCCTTCTTTATTTGTAGCACAGAGGATAAAAATTACATTTTCTGGTGATTTCAGTGAGTATTTGTTCATGCCTTTGGTGTGGGGTATCAGTGCCTGGCCTTGTTCATTGCTGGTTTGCAGCTGTAGCATCTGCAGAGTGAGTCTGTGTGTTTCTTTATCAGGTCAAGTGAGTGAAGTGGTTAAAAGATTTTTAGGTGTTAATTAGTTTGGTTGAAATTCCAGGGGTTCAGTCAATGCAAGAATCTGTGAGCTGAAAATTGTGGTGTCAGAGAGAAGGAAGTGAAACTGATTAACTTTTTGAAGAAGGATTTTGGGGTTTATGATGTTACAAGCACCCCTGGGGACATTTTGGTAGGTTAGCCATAGGGCAGCTTGTTCCACTTGCAGTGTTCTGAGGTCTTTTTAATGAAAAAGAGTGAAATACACAAATTATGGTCAGTGTACCAACAGAGAATGAATGAGGGAATGGTTTGGGTTGGGTGAGACCTTAAAGATCATCCCAGTCCACTTCCCTGCTATCAGCAGGGACACCTTCCACTATCCCAGGTTGCTCCAAGCTCCATCCAGCCTGGCCTTGGACACTTCCAGGCATGGGGCAGCCACAGTTTCTCTGGGAGACTTGTTCCACTGTGTTTGCTTTATATACAGTGCTTGGGAAACACTGCCTGTTCCTGCCACTCTGTAACACCACGCTTTGCTACTGTGCAAACTTTATTCCTTGGTGTTTTCTTGCTTTATTCCTTCCTTTTTCAATCACAGCATTTGATTTAAGTCAAATCATTCCCATGGCAGGGTATGGAGTTGAAATCCTTTGTTGTTAAAATCCTTTGTTGTTGACTGTCATGACTTTGTTGACTTTGGTTTTTCCTCTCCTTCCTCTTGATTAGTCTGTGTCCCCAAGCCGCAGCACCAGCTGAGCAAGCCTGGGGAGCTGAGGCAGGAATATGAAGCAGAGATTAGTAAGGTAAGTCTAAAAATATGTCTAAAAAGCATAAATGCTTTGTATCCAGTTATTTGAATTGTTTCCAGAAACAGCTGTAATTTTATTTAATAGTAAACATACATAAAAGGGCATTGCAGCTGCAAGGACATACTGGTCACTCCTGAATAATGAGTTACATTGGTGGAAGAGATTTCTTTGTGTTTGACATGAGGTGACATTCTTGATCTATACCTCCTACCTCATCTCTCAGTCAATGTGTATAAAAGTAGCAAATGTAGAAATTTGGAATTGTTTGGGCTTTGGTTTTATATTTATCTTCTTGATTTCCCTCCGAGTAAGAGACCTCAATTAGATAACCTTCAATAATGAACTTACAGCATTTTCTCTCTTTGTTCACTCTGTTACCTTTGCATATTTGAAAATCAATAAAGATTTTAAAAAATTCTCAGTTTTGGCCTATTTAAGGATCCTTCCTCCAATTCAGACACAGTAGTATTAAGATTTAGAGTTGGGATGTATGGGAATGCACCTTTCCCTGAGAGCCCCTTGCTGGTGATTACAGGAGCACGTGAAGCAGAGGACTGGAGGGAATTTCCAAAGAAAGCTTTACTCTTGAAGTACTTTGCTCTCCTCATGGAGTTGCTGGTAACTGATCTCTCAGCATGTCTGCTGTAAGAAAGGCAGATGTAAAATTCCTGGCCTGCTGCTTTGGGTTTTGCACGTTTCAGGAGAGCAGCACTCTTCTAGAAGAGAGATGTGCAGTCTTTGAGATATATAATGATAAAAACAGTTGAGCAAATGCTGTGGGATAGCTAGGATTCAGCCTTAAACAGAATTTTAATCCCACTTTCTCTGTACATCCGTGTATTTTTGTTACTAACGCTTTGAAAAGGTGAAGACTGGAGTTTAACCTTGCAGGTTAACTGTATGATCTTAGAGAAACCCAAAGGTTTGCCACTGTGGTTGAACCCAAGGCTCTACACGCAGTATCCACGTGAGTCTTTCATCTTTGAGACTTGTGCAATGAAATGCTGCTGTGTTTTGTGAACAGTGAATGGTTCACGTTTAAGCAGTGTCAGCTGAGAGGTCCTGGTGTACAGTGTGGCCCTGCAGTAGTAACCAGGTGGATTTTTTTCAAACATCTGGTTTAGGTGGAGGCAGAAAGGCGAGCACATGAACAGGAGGAGAACAAAGCCAGTGAGGAATACATCCAGCGGCTGCTGGCAGAGGAGGAGGAGGAGAACAGGCTGGCAGAAGAGAGACGGAAGGAGATGGAGAAGCAGCTGAAGCAAGATGAAGAGCTGGCCTGGCAGCTCAGTAACAGTCTGGTGAGTTAGGATCAAATGGGACAGCAGCAAGTATCAATATAGTGCAAGCAACTTGGACTTCTCAGAGCAAATATTAACATTTGGAATAGTTTAAATTTATTTTAAAGCCTTGATTGACCATTAATTTTTGAAAAGCCAGGAGGAGGGTGAAGCCTGTGTAATACACACTTGAAATCCAGCACCCAGCATGTGTGCTGCATGTTTTCATTGTGAAATATTTTAAAACATTGATTTTCTGCTGTATGCTTCCTTTTCCTCATCTTTTTTTAAATCCTTCTTTGGAAGAAATGAATATGTGTAACCTGTACTGGAAGAAAGGAGCACACAGTCAAAATGTACCTTACCTTTTGGAGTTGGTTTTTTTTTTTTTTTTTAATTGATTTGTTTTGCTTAGTTGAATTTTTGCCACTCAGTGATGAAACCTGTGTACTTATTGAGCAAAGCCTCCTGTCCCTCAGTGCTAGATCCAGGAAGGTGTTTGGAACAGGTAACATTTCTTTCTCGTTAACCATCCGTTACTCACAGTTCTAGAATTCTTTGGACAACAGCAACTAATTCTACAGCAAAACCCAAGTAGTTCCCTGAGGTTTCTGCAGTTTGTGTTGTGTTTTGTTTTACCTAATGCTATTTTTACTTGTCTGGAAGAATGAGGATCCTGAGGGACACGTGCCCGGCAGCCCGACTCCAGCACACAGCCTCTCCCTTCAGGCATCCCCACTGAACCCGAGCAAGGCAAAGAACAAACCAAGCAACTCTGGAGACATTCAGAAGTAAGGGATTCAGCCAAGTGTTTCTTTAATTATTGGCCTGTTCCAGTGTCCCTCTGCCCCATTTGCTTCTTTGGAATGCTGTAGGCCAGTATCCTGAGATAACTGGGGGCAAATGGGAAGTTTTGAAGTTTAAAACATTTCCTCATAGGAGGAGAAGGGAAACACTTGCCTTCTTGTTGTTTTTTGTTTGTCAGAATGAACCTGAAGATCTTGAATAATGCAAAGGACTGACAATTCAAGGACAAAATGTTTAAAGGGGTATCCTTTTTTCCTTTTTAAGGTATCTGTCTCCAAAGAATTATAGTATGTTGGGATCAGCATCGTTCTCCAGTACCACAGGAAGAGTCAGGAGCAACTCTGTCTCTGGGGTAACAGGAATCATTTTGTTATAAATCTCACAGTTAGTAATTATGGGATATTTTCCCCTTGCCTGTAGGGTTCCAGTCCTCTATTCCCCTTGCACATTGGCACTGGGCAGGTTATATTGTCCTTTTTAAGCTACCTTTGGTATTCATGATTGGCAGTTCTGGAGCCTGCTGGCAGAGGGTGCACCCTGATCTACATCATTCCATGGCTGTCTTTCTGATCATTCCTGTAAGGCCTCCAAAGATGAGCAGGCTTGTACATTTAGTCTGAATCGCTGATAAGAGGAAAATGCTGCAGTTGTGGTTTCAGTCCTTTAGCTGGGTTTCTGCAGTAATTTTAAATATTTTAATTATTATTAAACAGTCAGGTATTTTTTATAAAGAGAAGTATCTGAGTTGCTATCCCGGAGCACTCAGGGGCAGTGCAGCCATGAGAAGTGAGTTTGGTATTTATTCACACCCATGGGCTTTTGATAAATTTACTTCATTAGTGGTGTCTCCCTTTTCTTCAGGACTCCAACAGCAATGAAGGCAGCAGTTCTGCAGTGCAGGATGAGCAAGAGGAAATGCCAACCCTGTCTCCACAGCTGACCAGTGTAAATAAAGATTCTGGAGCTAAGGATTCATTTTTGGAATCATGCATGAACTATTTCAGTGCCTCAGCTTCAGGTGAAACTGCCACTGTCAAGCAGGAAAAAACACCAGGACCAAATGGTTTAGAAGATGGAGTTCCAGATGCACTTCATGGAACCACAGAAGAGGAAGAGTCTAGGACAGTTCTTCTTAGATCCAAAGGAGATGATGGTGGAATAGAGTCAGACAGTGGCAATTTGACACATGTCCAAAGGGTAAACCTCGAAAAGTCTGATGAAAGTTGTACCTCTGGTCAGTTAGGAATGAATTGTGTGATGTCTGACAGCCAGACTGTGTTGCCTGGCCTGGGGAAGGAGGCTGGACTCTCAAATGAAGAGATACCAGAGAGGCCACAGAACTCTAAGGAGACTCCCAAAAGGAAGCTAGTGGAGGCCCCAGCTGATGCCATGATTGACTTGGACATGCTTGACAAGAGGAGAAGAACCTTTTCAGAAAGTGTAGAAGAGCAAGGAGAGCAGATGAATGATTTTAACTTGCAGACACAACGAGCCTTTGAGCAGGAGTTCTATGAAAGGCGCAGGCAGGAGGAGCAGGACAGGCTCCTGGCTCTGCAGCTGCAGAAGGAGCTGGACAAGGAGGAAAGGACACTGAACAGACAGAAGGGCTCTCCAGACGAGTATCTGCTTCGCACCAAACCACCTCGGTGTGGGAAAGCCTCTGCTGCCAGGAAGGAAAATTCCAAGGGGGCAAAAGACTCAAAGGGATCAAAAACACAGGCTGAAAGCAATCACCACAAGGCTCGGAAAGGCTCCTGCAATGAAAACTGGCAGTCCCCTGGCAGGGTCCGGGTGAAATCCCCCAGCGTCAAGGAAGGAAAGGTTTTGAATTGTGTGGTTAATACCAGTGACACGAATGATATTTGTTCACCGCCTAAGAACAAGCAAAAAACAATCCTGCAGATGTTTAAAAGCCCTGTTGCAGAGTAGATCAGAGCCGTGGACAGGTGGTGGAATGGGAATGGGAACTGTGGTGATGTTCTCCTGTGCTAGGCTAAGCTTCCCTAAGCGGTTTTGAGTGGTTGCCTTGGAAGGGAACCACTTTGGGCAGTGGCGCTGTGAGTTCTGAGAAGTTCTAACATACACACCCAGAATGTAACATTTTTTAATTGTTCCTTTCTTGAATATTATTTTCTAGCACTTGGAGCACTTCTTGCAGGAATCGGAACATTTCTTATTTTCTAATTTGCATTTACATGGTTTGGAATGTGAATACTGGCAGTGTTGGAAAGCAGTGATAACTGATGGTCTGATCTGAAAATGAGAATCCAAAGCCTTTCATGGAAAAGATGCACATTCCATGGAGGAAACCAATGAAAAATGAGTCTGTATTCCCAGCTGGCTGTCAGCTGCAAGGTTGAAGCTTCCCTCAGCACAACCACTGTTCTCGAAATTGAAGCACCTTGCTGGAATTTAGGCTGTTGCTGGAATTGCATTGTTGGCACACCCATTAACACTAGTGTAAGCAGACAGCCACTCTTTCACTCTCATGTGCTAACCCCTCCCTCAGACAAAGAGGAAAGAAACAGGTCATTCTCCCCTGACAAAGCCAAGGATCTTTTATGGATGCCAAGGCTGTGGGCATTCCCCTCTGTTCACAGAGATCCCTCCTGCAGATCCCATTTTCCCTGTTGTTAAGAACAAAATACTTCTGTTGTTAATGTCCTGTTAATGGTACATATGAATGTACAGTGGTGTTACTATACTTAATGCTGTTTCATTTTCATACTCTGACTGGTTTGAGTGTGATTAAAACAATAGTCCAGAAGCCAGTTATGATGGAGAAAGTTAAAAGGGAAAGAAGCAACTGAAGACTGGAGTTCAGTAATGACATAACTGTAATTAGAGATTCACATAGCTGCCCTGCCTGGCTGTAACTGTTCCCTTCCACTACTAAATACTGTTCCTGTTGGGTTTAAAACTGAAACAACTCAAAAAATACAATTAGAGATTCACATAGCTGCCCTGCCTGGCTGTAACTGTTCCCTTCCACTTTTAGAGGGCACTACTAAATGCTGTTCCTGTTGGGTTTAAAACTAAAACAACTCAAAAAATATTGTAATTTAGGCATGGAGGTGCTGAGGCCTGTAGGAAGTTGAGGCAACCAGATCCTACTATGCAGAGGAAGTTTTGCTAATTGCTTCATCTGTTTTATGAAGCCATATTTTGGCTTTTCTTTGCTTCTTCTGAGCTACTTTTGCACTGTCTGTGTTTGAAATGGATCTAAGTGCCAGCTGCAGTGCTGAAGGGTGTGTGCTAGTCATCAAAATCAGCAGATGTTTGAGTTTTGTCCTTTTTTTGAACCCCATTGATGACTTTAATTCTGTTCTAGGACATTCCTAGCAGACTTGTTTCTTCAGCAGCATCTTCTGATGGTTTAAGTTTAAAAAAACCAAATTTTATGGAAAGCATGACCAGCACACTGAGTCAAAAATAAGAATTGTTGGGATTTTTTTCCCCCAAAGCCTGCACATCTTATCATTGGTGGGCTCCTCATAAATAAATAAATAAATGTTCTGTTCAGAGATGTTTTTTGGGAAAATCACAACAGGTAACTAGTGGCAAATCCTTTGCTTTTTCTCCTGCTGCCTCAGCCATTGTTCTGGAAGCTTTCCTTCAATATGGGTCTGTTCTTCCTTAATCCTTAACACAGTTGGGATTATTTTCTGGTTGACCCATGATGTGAAAAAAACTTAATTAAAGGGTTTTTTGGTTTTTTTTTAAGGCAGAGCTACTGACTGTTTCCATGCTGGTGACCCTCAGCCTTTCCAGTCAGGGTAAGCCTGTAAAAAAACAAACCCTATTTTCAAAGCAGAATGAAAAAAAAAAAAAACAAAACAACAGAAAAACAACCAAAAAGACCAAACCAGGACTAAAAATTGATTGTTAGATAAAACCAAGCTTAACTGCAAAAGGTACAAAACCTGTCACCTATAGCAGCAGCCTTATCTGAGGTGGGATGATGTAAGCTCCCAAATTATCCCATTCCTCACCATATCCATGGCACAATAATCCTCACCAGGCATAACTTGGCTTATTCTTTTAGATCTTCATTGTTAGAGGGTGGGATTTGGGCACTGCTGAGTGGATTTTGGTTGTACCAACAGCTTGTTTGTGACCCTGTGGCTCCTTTGAAGGAGGTGAAATCATCTTTGTTTTCCTGGTGTTGGTGAAGCAGGAGTCTGTATTGAGATGTCTGGGCTGGTGTAGCAGATCACTGCTGCTCACCTGCCTTCAGCCCTGGAGATTAATTTGTCTTGTTTGTGAACAAGTTCAGCTCATCCAACTGCCAGGAAAAACAAAACAAGTGCCAAAACCCCAAATACTTCACAGGCTTGGTTGCTTCTCTGAGCACCAGAGCTGGTGGGGATGGGAGGCAGTAAGAGAGGGAACAGATGGACCTGTTTCCATGGCAGTGAGGTAATAAATTGTTAGAATTCTAGGGAAATGTCGGCTTTCTGTGGTACTGAGTTGACAAGTGTTACTGGCAAGGTGTTCAGCAGCAAGGCAGCCACATTCCTGCTGTGTGGGGAAACTGGAAAGGAGTAAAACATTCCTTTCCTGACATTCCTTCAGATGGCCTGGGGATCAGAAACACCTGGTGGGGACAAATCCAAGGGTGTCCTCTTCTGGCTTTGTGACAGTGATGGCAGGGTACCCTGGCAGGGCTCCCTGGACTGGTGCAGATGAGCTGTTCCTTGACCACCTCAGGTCCTGTCCCACAGAATCCCAGAATGGGACAGGCTGGAAGGGACCACAGTGGCTCCATCTGCTCCAGCAGGGCCATCCCAGAGCCCATGGCACACATTGTGTCCAGACAGCTCTGGGATATCCCCGGTGAGGAGACTCCACACCCTCTCTGGGATGTGTCCAGGGCTCTGTCACTGCCCTGGAAAGTTCTTCCTCGTGTCCAGGTGGAACTTCTGGGCTCAGTCCCTGCCCGTGGCTCTGGTGCCATTGCTGTGGCTGGAGCAGAGCCCGGGCCCTGCTCTGCCCCTCCTGCAGCCAGGGCCAGCCAGGGCTGAGGGTCCCTCTCAGCTGGGGCTCCTCTCCAGGCTGAGCAGCCCCAGCTCCCTCAGCCTTTCCTGGGCACCCACATGCTCCAGGCCCTTCAGCATCTCCACAGCTTCCCCCAGACCTGCTCAGCAGCTCCATGTGCTCCTCTCCTGAGGAGCCCAGAGCCGGACATAGCACTCCCAGGGCTGGACAGAGGGACCAGATCAGTCGCTGGTGTGCTGGGAGTGCTCTTCCCAGTGTCCCCCAGGGTCCCACAGGCCCTTCTGCCCCAGGACACTGCCGGCTCGGGGATAGCTGGTTGCCAGTCAGAACCCCCGGGTCCTTCACCGGAGCGCTGCTCTCCAGCAGGTCAGCCCCGGTGCTATTCCTGGGTGTCCCCCTGCCCACAGCACCTGGATCTGCACTCGGCCCGCGGCCTGCCCAGCCCCTCGCCGCGCCGCGGGCCTCTGTGATGGGCTAAATCCGCGTGGGAACCCCGGGTGCGTGTCTTGAGAGTGCCGGTCCGCCTCTAAGGCCCGTGTCCCCCCTTGGAAGCGGCGGGTCGGGAATTCCGGGGGCATTCCCAAGGAAAGCCGTCGAGGCGGCGGGGGGGGGGAGAGGAAGGAGGGCGTTGCCACGGCAACTCCCGCCTCCCGCGCGGCCGGAGGGGGCGGGGCTTATTACCACGGCATCCGAGCCCCCCCGCCCTTCTCGGCGGCAGACGGGGGAAGGGGCGCGCGCGCGGGCGGGCCCCGCGCATGCGCAGCGCGCGCCGGCCGGCGGCGCGTGTGTTGTGGTGCGGCGGCGGCAAGATGGCGGCGCCCGGGGGCTCGGCGGGCGCCGCGGCGCTGAGGGCGCTGGTCCAGCAGTTCACCGCCATCACCGGTGGGTGCGGGGCGCGGGGCGCGCCGAGGCCGCGGGGCTTACGCGGGAGGGTCCCGCCCGGCCCCCACCCGCCCGACGCGGCGGGGCTGCCCCGGGCCGGCCCCGCTCCCTGCGCGGCGCAGCGTCGGGGGCTCCGCTCGGTTGTTTCCCGGCGGCGCGGGTGCCTGTCCTGCTCCCTCCTGCCTCTGCGCTCCGCCCCGGCGGCCGCTTCCCGCTCCCGCGGGTGGCTCTGACGGCCGGGAGGGACCCGGCAGCTGAGCCCCGAGCCGCCTTTGAAAAAGCAGAAATATCCCAGAGCGCGGGCGGCTCGAGTTGGCGCACGGGGAGAGCTGATCGCTTTTCCGTGGAAGTTCGCGACAGGTGACAGCTCCTGCTTCAGGTTGTGTGCTTGGAGCTCTTGACCCACTTTGTGTTTAATCTGCTTCCCCGCAGTTACCCCTGGCTGAGGGCTTTGCACGTCAGATGCCGCAGGAGTGCTTAATAAGATGTGTCAACTAAAGAGCCAAAGGGAAGTGAAACTGCTCTAATTCGGTTGTCCAGACCAGCTCCGTTTCAGATTGTGTCCGTGTGCTTGGACACGCTCAAATCCTTAACAGGATGTAAACAGGGAAATTATTGATCGCTCAGCTATTCATAAAGAGTCTTTATAGAATAAACCTTTTAAACAAAAAGAACCTACAGCAATTATATTTTCAGTAATATGTGCCTGTGTGGGAGATATTTGCTAAAACCTGAGCCAGAACAGGCAGAGCTGTGCAGGTTTCTTCCTCCTGACACCTTTTATGTTTAGACACGTTTTATGCTCAACACCAGAGAACCCCTCTATGCTTTCAAAATTAAAAAAGAAATAGCCTGCCGGGCTTCAGCCATCAACTATTTAGTGGAGTTTTGAAGTTTTGTTTTTACCTTTAACAGAATTTAAGGTTCCATCTAGGAGTGTGTGGAGCTTGTCTGGCTGATGCTGCTGTGGTGTGCCAGGTGCTCACACCTCAGTGCTTTGTGTTAGTAGCTTTTTCAGCTCGGAGTTGTAAGCGTATGCAGTCACTCCTGTCTGTGGGGAAAAGGCTGAGGGAATGCTCTGCAGCATCAGGGATGAGGAGAAACAGTCATTGACACTTTTCTTTGATCCTGATGGCAGAATTGTGTTTCTTTGGTGCTCTCGTTCAGGAAAGTACTGCTGAGAGAACGTAACTCCTGTGTGTCTTGATGCCTTAATTTCAGCTTTCATGTTTTCCAGATTCTGTTCTGCATTAGTGTGAACTTCACATAAAGTGTTAGCAAGTTCTCCTCACAGTTTAGTCAGACAAAACAATCCTTTTTCCAGCCCCAGAATCAAGGTCACCATTGCAGCTTCAGGCCCAAAATGTATAAACAGCAGTGAATTGAGGAGAGCAGACTGAGAGGGTGGGACTTCATAACCTGGAGCTGGAATTGGACAATTAACCCCAATATGGAAATGGACCAAAACTTAAAAACATATGAAAACTAGTGACCCTCATCCATCTTGGGTGTAGCCACAGCCAGGCTCTTGTACTGCCCAAGGTGTGTCCTTTGAAGGCCTTTTAATAAATCCCTACTTTAATCCTTTAACTCTGCCTTGCCTTTGTTCTAGGTAGCCTCTCAAGGCATCAGTCTTCCCCAAGGAAATGATGGGATAGCTGTGAAATTTGCTTTGAAACTTGACAAATATTTAGAATTTTCTGTTTTGCAGCACGAGGACTGAAAGCTTTGATATGGTGGCCCTTCCCTCAGGAATGATGAGGAATCAGTGAAGGCACTTTGCTGTATCAGTGTCTCTTTAAATAATAGCAGAGGGTTGAATTATCATTTTTCTTGCAGTTCTTGCAAATGAATGGCTTTGCATGACTCTGCAGGGAGGTGTAGAGTGGGGTGTTTGTGTTCCAGGCTCACAGGTGTGGTTTCATTGCTACAGTTAACATTGAAAAGTGCTGAAAATGCCAAAAAAATAGTTTGAGTGAAGAACCTGAACTTCTCGTTAGTTTTTTGGGATGTCACTAGTTTTTATTTTGCACTTTCTTTGGCTCAGTTAAAGTCTTAAAAATACAGCTGCCTGTCATGCCAGCGTGCTTGTTGTGGCAGGTTGGGTGTTTTGGGAAACCAGTTCCCTCAGTCAGTTTGGCTTTCTCCGTGGTTTGATGTGCAGGTTGTTTAGAACTGATTGATCTCCGTAGTTTCAAAGTGTATTCTGTGTTCAAACCTGAGCTTCTTGAGTCTTTCCCAGAAAATCTGAGAAATGTCTGAATATGTTTTGCCCAGACTGATGTTGTCTGTGAGCCTGGTTTTGTGCACAGTGTTGTTGTCATTTTGGTGACTTGCTGTGAACTTAGGAAGAATTCCTACAGATCCCAAAGCTGCTCCCAGACTGGTTCAGCTGCATTTTACCACTCTTCCTCTCTACCAACCTTTCTAAAGGAAAATCAGCTCTTTGGCAGTCCACCACCTATGGAGAAGGTGCTGTAAAGAGTTGATTTGCAGGAGAGCTTCTTCTCCTGAGGGAGCTTCTGCTGATGGGATGGTTGTTGAGGAGATGTTGGGACATAGAGGCTGATCCTCTGAGGAAAGACAGGTGATGTTAGGAACTGTTGCTTCATCTTGAGCAGCAATATCAAAACTGGGATTAATTGCACTTTGGGTGTTCAAAGGCAGTCTGGACAGGGCCTGAAGCATCCTGGGGTAGTGGAGGGTGTCCATGCCCATGGCAGGGTGTAGAACTGGATGAGCTTTAAGCTCCCTTCCAGCCCAAACTGTTCCATGATTCTGTGATTTGAATAAATGTTAGTCATTATACAAAGAACTCTGTAGAAAAGTATTACTTTCTCCCTCTTGGCTGCTTTTTTTTTTTCCCCTTCTTACATAAACTGAGCTTCTGCTGGTTTGATTTTGCCTTTCAGCAGAATCAGTAAATCAGAGTGTCTTTTCTTTCATTTCTAAATGTCTGTTACAAGTGGATAAAAAATTTTAGCAGCTGATTTAATATTCTTCCTGTTAAAATGTTAAGTCAGGTTTTCATTTTTCTTTGTGTATGCCTGCTTGTGTTGGAAAATCCATAGAATTGTGGAATGGTTTGGCTTGGAAGGGACTTTAAAACTTATCTTGTTCTACCTGCTGTGATGGTCAGGGACACCTTCCACTGTCCCAGGGTGCTCCAAGTCTGGCCTTGGACACTTCCAGGGATGGGGCAGCCACAGCATCTCTGGGCACCCTGTGCCAGGGCTTCAGCACCCTCACAGGGAAGGATTTCTCCCCAGTATCCCATCCAACTCTGACCTCTATCCGTGTGCACCATTCCCCCTTGCCTGTCCCTCCATCCCTTGTCCCACGTCCTCACCAGCTCTCCTGGAACCCCTTTAGACACTTGGAAGAGGCTCTAAAGTCTCCCTGGAGCCTTCTCTTCTCCAGGTGAGCACCCCCAACTCTGCCAGCCTGGCTCCAGCCCTCACAGCACCTTTGTGGTCTCCTCTGGACTTATTCCAACAGATCCATGTACCAGGAAGATGTCTGACCTCTAGAAGGAAGTCCAGATCATGCTAAAACCCCTCAGATGGTTTCCTCTAGGTTTTCAGTTGCTGACAGGAAGAAGCCTGGCAGTCCTGAGTGCAAGCATTCCCTTCCCCCTGAGCTGTGTATGTTTGTCTCCTTTCACAGTTGTGCTTCAGGGATAAATGGCAGCTGATGAACTGTTCCTCCTAATTAATAATGCTTTGAGAGAGAAAGCTGTTCTGGGCTCTTCCAGTCAAAACGCTGTGATTTCCCTTTGGCATTCCAGGTGCCAGTGAAAGCGTGGGGAAGCACATGCTTGAAGCATGCAACAACAACCTGGAGATGGCTGTCACCATGTTCCTGGACGGAGGAGGGATAGCAGAGGAGCCCAGCACCAGCTCGGCAGCGGTGTCTGCTGCCCGCCCGCACCCCGAGTACGTACCCCGCGCGCGGCCGTGCCAGCCCGGCCCGCCCGTGGCACTGGGGTGGCACGGCCGCGCCGCACCACAGCGCTGCACGCTGCTTTGGTCTTGGGCAATTGATTGCTCCAGTCTTCTGCTTTGTGGGTCTCAGGCACTTGAGGAGTTTTCTGGAGATTTCACCTGCTGTTTTTTACAAACAAAGCCCAAGTCATTAAAAGAAGGATCCAGTAATAAGAGAGTCTTTCAGCAATCTTGCTTTATACTAGTTTGGCAGTTAGAGAGTTCTCATGGTTTCGTTCTTATAAATGCAGCCACCTTACTCCCATTTCATAAATTCATGGAATTTAAGGTTGGAAAAGACCTATAAGATCACCAAGTCCAGCCATCAACCCAGCACCACCACCATGTTCACCACTAATCCGTGTCCCCAAATGCCACATCCATGTGTTTATTGAACTCCTCCAGGGATTGTGACTCCACCACTGCCCTGGGTAGCCTGTGCCAGTGCTTTACAACCCTTTCTGTGAAAAAATTTTTCATAATATATAACATAAACCTCCCCTGACACAACTAAAAGAAGGATCCAGTAATAAGAGAGTCTTTCAGCAATCTTGCTTTATACTAGTTTGGCAGTTAGAGAGTTCTCATGGTTTCGTTCTTATAAATGCAGCCACCTTACTCCCATTTCATAAATTCATGGAATTTAAGGTTGGAAAAGACCTATAAGATCACCAAGTCCAGCCATCAACCCAGCACCACCACCATGTTCACCACTAATCCGTGTCCCCAAGTGCCACAGCCATGTGTTTATTGAGCTCCTCCAGGGATTGTGACTCCACCTCTGCCCTGGGTAGCCTGTGCCAGTGCTTTACAACCCTTTCTGTGAAAAAATTTTTCATAATATAGCCATGTGTTTATTGAGCTCCTCCAGGGATTGTGACTCCACCTCTGCCCTGGGTAGCCTGTGCCAGTGCTTTACAACCCTTTCTGTGAAGAAATTTGCCATAATATGTAACATAAACCTCCCCTGACACAACTTGAGGCCATTTTCTCTCATCCTGTCTCTCCTTACCTGGGAGAAGAGTGACTTGTGAGGGTTTTATAGTGGTGGTTTGACCAGTTTGGCACTGGAAAGGCCAGGCCTGTTCACCAGTATGCAGAGGAATCAGCAACTTCAGCACCTTCATCAGTCTCTGACACATCAGATGCCTGCAAAGGGAAGAGAATTTCCACTTAAGCATGGCAGAGAGCCTCAGTGCTGCCTATTAATGTGACTGCTTGAGATAAAGGGAGTATCTTGAGTGGTATAAATCACATTCATTAAATATGGTAAGTTAAACGTAAGCCAGGCTTTTGTCCTTATGAAAATCTTCCACTCCAGGAAAAATACAGCTGACTTAAAGAGGAAAATCCTCACCCCTCATACTTCTGAAGCACATGTATAAATTTAAATTTAAATGATTCTTTTAATGCTAACCTTTATAGCTGATGTGAAGTGCCTTCCTACTTGAACTATTAAAATAAGTATATATGTTAGTGTTCCTATTTCTAGACAACTTTTGGCTCATCAGTGACTCCAAATTTTTCTTGGAATACTTTCTCCTTTATACTCAACACCCTCCAGGTGCTGATCAGCTCAGTGTTCCTCCTAGGATGAGTAAATGTGTAAATGGAGAGTAACTCGCTGCACAGAGCAGTCAAAGATGTGGAGGGGAAGAGCAAGGTTAATGCTGACATCCTGAGTTAGCTTTGACCTGCATTGTCAAGAGCTGCAAAGTGCACTCTTCACTCCTTGGAAGTCTGGGGGAAGAGGGAGTTCATAGACAGGATGTAGCAATGGATGAATCCTTCTGCTCATAGATCCATGGGCCAGGTGGCCGCACTGTTGTCACAGAGATGCTTGTGATTTCGTTGTGATTTCCTCTCTTCTCCTAATTGTAGTTTTGAATTACCTGTGAGTGTCTGCAAGTATCACTGACTGAGCTGTTGACATGTGAGGGAGCCCAGTTATGTAAGCCAAGAACTGCTTTAGAAATGGGGGGAAGTTGCCATCTTCATCTGGTTTTCCTCCTGGAAAAGAGAGAGTGTGACTTTCAGGTGGAAGCAAAAAGTCTTCTGACAGACAAAAGCTGGTAATGAGGAAGATATTTTTTTCTGTGTAGCTAGCAAGGAAAGTAGGATGGCAAGTGGATTTAACATTTTTTGGTAAGGTTTTAAAAACATCCAAGTTCTGAAAGTTATTCAAGAACAAAAAATGTTTAGATATAGATTGACAGAGCCTGGGATCAAGTCACTCAGGGGTTTGTGTAATGTTTTATCAAAGGTCATCCATGCTAGCTCTCAGTGCACAGGGTACCAGGTCCAGCAGCAGTGCCATGAGTTGGAGCAGATGCTCCCTCGAGATCCCACTTAATCCCAAAACTTCATTCTGTGCAGTGGTACAGCAGCACCTTTAACTGGTTCAAGTTGCAGGAGCCTTGGAGCACAATGAGATGTGGTTTGTACAATATTTGGAATATTATCATCTCTCTGATTTTTCTTTTTTGTTTCTTCTCCTTTGATAGGGATGAAGTACGAGCTCCAATTCCTCAAAAGCAGGAAATCTTAGTGGAGCCTGAGCCCTTGTTTGGAGGTAGGCTTGTGTTCTTATTTTGTTTCTGTTTTCTTTACCTTGAGGTGAGCTAAGTGACAAAAGAAAATCAAAACTTGTTGAATATGAAGAAATAACACCATTAGTACTGAAAACCTCACACACAAGGGGGATGCTTTATTCCCAGGGGTGCTAATTTGCTACACAAATCTTGTTTCATGAGACGTGAGGTGGCAGCCAATTAACTTAATTAAGTATACATCTGGGAGTCCAGAACTGTGGGGTGCTGCTGTGGAAATGTTTGAGATGCTGGGATGGAAGATGGATTCTTGGCTTGTCCTCTTGAAAATGAAGGGGACAAATGCCTGATGACAGATCAGAAAGAAGGGCTGAACTCTGTGATTGCTCATACCCTTCTCCATTTCTCATGCAGGAATTTAATTTGCTCTTTAAGCTGTGCTGTGCAGCTACTTTTCTTGTCTCTGTCCTTCTCATGTGGACCAGGTCATTTCTGGGCTGCCCTTTGCCATGTCAGATGGATTGAGAGCTTTGCCCTTTTCACCAAGGAAGACTGTGCAAGTGCTTGTCACTGCAGTGGTCTCACACCATGGGAAATGCTCTTTCCTGTCATTTAGCTCCTGTGTTAGAAAGGAGAAGGAGACCAAGCTTCGGGTGTACCCTGGAACTGATTTTTTCTTGACTCTTTTTCAGCATCAGAGAGGTGTTTATCCAGGATGCACAAGCTGAGGGTGGTACAGAGGGAGACACAATGCCAGGCAGTACAGGTGCACACCACTTCCCTTTTTGCTGGACTTGCACTGATAGCAATATTTGCTTATCTATTTTTAGTGCTTTTTAGCAATTTTTTTCCTGTCTGTTTTGAGAGCTGAAAAATTTTGACTCCTTTAATATGCTTCAGTCCCATCAGAAAATGTTTATTCCTCAGGCAGAATATGAATCACTGAAATGGACTAACTTAGCTTCTACATACCAATGTGAGATGCATAAAGTGCCAGCAATTTGAAATACACACTTAATTTGCATTTGGGCAAAAAGGGAATGACGTACAAAGTATCTGCTTTCATTGAAGTGTTTTTGCACTTCTGTGAGCTTTATTGATGTAGTTCCATGACATTGCCCTTGCTGCTGAAAGGCCACGCTGTCAGCAGCAGTGAAGCTGGACTCTGAATGTCTCAGCCATAAGATGCAGTGACATGAAAACAAGGACACACTGTGTTTATCTAATCCTTGCACTTCCCATCCTACCTGGATTTTGGAAGTAGGGAGTTTAGTAGCAGAGGAGGGCAGTTCTGCAGCAGGAAATGTGCATCCAGAGGAAGATGCCCTGCTGTGCCTCTCTGAAGACAGAGGAGCTCTCTGCATTTTTCCTGTGGCCCAACAGCGTTTTTGACAAAGATCTGTTCACTCCTGTGGGTTATTAGGATTCAGATGTGCTGATCCTAATGCTTGGTGTTCTTACACCTACCTGTTACACACTGATCTCAGTCACACTGCCACTGACCATGCTCTGACCTGGGTCAGTGATTTCCTCCTGGCACTGTCTGATCCAGCAGTGCCACTTGTGTTTGTGGCACAGAGCAGCCTGACAGAGTAGCTGAACCTGAAGAGATAATTGGTCTCAGCTCTGGGCTTACAGCAGGGGAGGTGGCAGTTTCTGTTTATAAGCTCAGGTTTTTTCCACCTGAAGAGGTGACCCTGTGTATTTGTGCCCTGCTGGGTACGTGGATCCCATCATTCAGTACAAAGGATCCTCCTGGATTGCTGAGAGCCTCTTCACCTGTGCTGCCTGGCAGGGACATGCTGCTTTTGCTGAAGTGGTCCTTCAGTTGCTGTTCCAGCTGAGTTTGGGTTGTTCTCAGCTTGGCTTGTGCCTAAGTACTCAGGGTGAAGGAGACCTTATTCTCTGGAGTTGAGAGGTGTTATTCCCCAGCACATCCCTTGTTCAGATTTGCTTTCTTTTTCCATGATTGGCTGTATCATCACATTTCCATTGGATATAGGTTGTATTTATCTTACTTTAATTTGTTTATTATTTATTATGTCTTGTAGCAATTGGGCTTTGAAAGTTCTGTCTTTCAGTTGATGGAAAAGGAGATAAATAGCTGGAATAATCTTGGCAGGCAATTCTGTTTTCCTTCCAAGTGCAGTGCTTGTGCTGTACCTTAGGACTTCAGTGGGACATGAGGGTGCTATTTCTGATACCTTCCTGGCTCTCTGTGCAGCTGCAGATAAACAGTTCTGATGGTTTCCTTGCAAATAACTGGATCTGCTGGAAGAGTGTGGCTGTTCAGTCCACCCAAGAAGTTGGGACAGGATCAGGATAAGAGTTTAGAAAAGAGTAGAAATGCATTGTAGAAAGAAGAAATGTGCTTCTTCATTAAAAAAAATATATATACATATATATATAATGGAGTTTAACCTTTTGAAGTTTTTCATCCCCTTGAAGGCCTTGGGTAAAATCTTGACTGGAATTGTGACAAGGTGATGCTGTGACAGCACTGCCCCTGTATGCTGAAGGGTCCTGGCAAGCCCATCAGAAGGGGCTTTAAGCCTCTCTGTATTGTTGATGCATGTTTTGTTTCTGGGCTAAGGTTTGCTGGAGGAAGGATGTGTTAGGAAATGGAATTTACAAATTACCTTCTGCCTATTTCCATCCGTCTCCAGCCCTTCCCAATGACCTCTACTCCCACACAGTCCCTGCCTGGGGTTCCTATTCTGTTTTCCTACATATGTGATGGAAAGTTCTCATATGCATTATTTTGATAATATACTTTTCAAATAATTCTTTAATTTTTTTAAAGCTCCTAAAAGGCGCAGACCTGCTCGCTCAATATTCGATGGCTTTCGGGATTTTCAGACAGAAACCAGTAAGTGTCTACAGATCAGTAAGCCTGATATTTTATTTTATTTTGTTACTTTTAATGCAAATAAGATGGAGAAATCATTCCCGTTGTAGGATAGGACAGCTGTCAGTTGTTGAAACATTTTTAAATTGCCATTGTGTAGCAGGATACATTATTAGAAGTATAGAAACATGGAATTATGATTAGCACGGTATATTCTGTCTGCTTTGGTGTTGCTAACTCTCAAAAAACCCCTTTTTCCTCTCTAGAGGGAGCTGAAAAGGGGGAAGAATCCTAACACCCACGTAGAAATTAAATTAATCCACTGGATATTTCTTGGCTAGGCAGTGGACTTTCTGGCACTTGAATTACATTGGAGTAGCCCTGAGGCTTCCTCCTTGAGCACGAGGTTCTTGTGGCTTTAATTGCTGTTTGCCCTTGGCTATTCATGCACAGAGTCTCCAGATGCCAAAGCACTGGCTGTTGTTTCACCCAGGAGGTGTCACAGAATGTGATTCTGTGACAGCACAGCACCAGGTGTTTCACATCTGAGTTATGGCTGTCGTGCTGATGTTGCTGGAGCGTTCCTGAGGTGGAACCACAGAATCAGGAAAGTTGGGAAAGTCTTCTGAGACTGAGTCCAACTGTTTTCCCAGCACTGCCAAGGCCACCACTGCCCCATGTCCCCAGGTGCCACACCCACATATCTGTTAAATCCCTGCCAGGGTTGGACAACCCTTTCCATGAAGAAATTGTCACTAATATCCAATCTCAGCCTCCCCTGGTATGACCTGAGGCTGTTTCCTCATCCTGTCACTGGTTACTGGGGTCCATGGACCACGTTCCACACAGTTAGGGGTTGGCTGCCAAACTGAAAATAGGTGTTGATAGTTACTTTCTTTCCCCTTTTCGAGTAATGAGGAACACAACAAGTGTTGAAATCACTGGCAGCTTTGTAAGTGAAAATGCACCATGTACAGAATCAATACCCTTAATTTTTTTTCTCACCATCTTCCAGCCTGGACTAGCAGAGGGTGTTCCAGCCTATAGCAGGAGGGGGTGCAACTGACTGATCTTCAGGGTCTCTTCCAAACCAAACCACCCTGTGATTCCACTCTTAAGACATTTAGAGATGCCCAACACGTGAGAGATACACTGTGAGGGCTTGTGGTGAAACTTTATCATGCTTTTTGGCAGAACTTGACAGGTGAACATCACCTGGCTGTCTCTGGAAAAGCAGCCCTGGCCATGAAATTCCAGATTATCTCCTGGTTCCCAGGGCTACTCCACAAGGATGCTTTATTCCCTGTGTGTCTGCTCAAGCATGGTTTTTATGCTTTGGCCCTTCCACAGTGGAAAATTTTTGGCCATGGCATAGTTATTGCCCATTTCAGCTGATCTGGTTCCATCAAATACATCATGTATCTGCTGTGATTCACCTTTATTATCCATGGTCCTGTCTGAGCAGGAAATGTGTTCTGTATTGTTTCAGATGGAATCGATACTCTTTAAAAGAAGCATCCAAAGAGATTTCTCCACGTAAACTAAATCTGTTTGTTTCTTTCTTTTCTGTGGGATTGCCCCACAGCCAACTAATGGAAACACTACAATAGAAATATTCCTTTTAAAAGTTATATTGCTACAATCTAGCTCAGTTTCCCATTTAAAAGCATCACTGGGCACAAGTCACGGCTTTTTTTTGGTTCCTTTGTTTTCAAGTATTGGTATGTGACCCCTCAGGTTTATTAAGATGTTGTTTAAAAGTGAAAGCACATGAGAAAGCTGAGGCAGGGAGGTTCAGCCCTTCCACACCAGCTGATCTTGTTCAGTGGGGTCTAACCCTGGGACTCTGTAGGAGATACCCTGGGATTTGCACTCACTAGCTGCCCTAGCCCTGTTCTCCCCAAACCTCCTAGGAGCTGGAGAGAATTTCACCCCAGAAGCCCTGTGTTTGAGCATTTAGCCAGTGATGAATGCCCCTTGTGAGTGTGTGTAGTCTAACTGCTGTCCCTTTCCTCTTGGGGCTGTGCAGTCCGGCAGGAGCAGGAGCTCCGGAACGGAGGGGCGGTGGACAAGAAGCTGACGACGCTGGCAGATCTCTTCAGACCTCCCATTGACCTGATGCACAAAGGCAGCTTTGAAACGGTGAGGGCTCACCTCTGGCTGCAGAGGGGAGGGTGGCAGCATGGATCCATGGCTGGACAGTCAGGAGGTTCCAAAGGCTGGGCAGTGAAAAATATTTGATGGACTGTGTATGGGAATGTTGGTGATGTATTGAAGGACTTCACTGATGATGGTGTCACCTGGATTGGACCCGTAAGGATCATCATGTCCAAGTCCTCACCATGCAGACCGCATTGTTTTGTGTTTCAGTCTCAGTGTGGAAAATCACATGTGGTGAAAGGCTTCAGTGAGCAAGGGAGGCTGGTCAGAATGGGAAAATTGCATCCCTTGAGCTGTCTCCATAGAGGATACAGAAAAAGCTGGAGTAAAATTGCTTTGGACAGATAGGTGAGGGAGGACCTTGCAAGGGGCAGTGTGGTTTGCAGCACAGCCCTGCTGAGAAGCTCAGGTGGAGTTAACATGGCTGAGTGGCTTCTGATACCTGAGTGAGTAGAAGTGTTTGAATGTGTCTTTGCCATCAAGCCACAGCTTCATCCTCAGTGGAGGTGTTCTATAAAATCACAGTGGTTGTCTTTTACTTCTGGTGGCTCTAGGGAATGTATCCCAGAGATACAGGACACTGTCAGCTTTAAACAATCTCAGGTGTCACCTTCCCTGACTGTGCAGGCATGTGTGGATCTATCCCTGAATTGTTATGATGTGGATCAATGACTTAAGTAATGATTAGAGAGCATGCAGATTGGTATATATTTTTGATTTTTGCATCCGTAATTTCCAGATATTTTTCAGAAATATCTGGAAATTCAGAAACTTTCTCCTGGTCACCTTTGAATAGATGAGATTGATGATGGAAATTATCATTATTTTTACTGCATGAGAATGCAAAGTAATGATTAAATGGTGCAATACAGTTGGAGAACCAGCTGCACAAGTCTGCACAACTGACTGACTGAAGAAAAATATTATTTACCTTGTTTTCACATGTGCCTTGACTGCTGTGCACAAGTGCTAGGGCACTGCTAGAGAGCTTTTGGTGAAACACTGTGTGCCTTTATGGAGTCTCCAGCTCTCATCCCATTACCCTCATCTCTCTTTTTATGTTTCCCAAATCACCAGGGAGCAGTTGCCTTGTCACTAACTCATGTATTTTGAGGGTGCCCTCCACAATCTCCTTAACAAAATTCCAGCTGTGAGAGGATGCTGGCAGAGAGCAGCAGTGTCCACCTTGGGAAGGAATTTGGTGCAGTGGGAGCAGAGGAGCAGTGGGAACAGAGGAGCAGAGGAGCAGCCTGAAGCAGGGTTTACTTTAAAAGATGTGTTTCAGGTCTTCCAGCTGATGGTGCTTGCTGAGCCTGGGGTCCAGAGCTGTTGGTGAAACTAGCAAATGTGTGGTTAAAGGCACCAGTAGGGGGAATTCACATGGCAACAGCCAGTGCTGCTGCAGGAGCAGTCAGCAAGTGCCCTCTGAGCTCTGCTGTGGAGTTTGAGATGGGTGCTTGTCTTGCTGGAAACACATGAAGAGTTCAGCAGTGTTGATTGTGGCATCTGTCACAGTCAGAAGCAGTGTCAGAGAGTGAAATAATTGATTGATGGATTTGTTTCTAAAGTTTCTGCATTCTTATTCAGTCCTGAAAGGTAATTTAAAAAAGGGGGTGGGCTGGGTTTGGGGAAGGGGTTTGTGTATACTCACATTGCCCTGTTCTGTGCAGTACCTGCACTCTAAAGACCTGCACACTTCCTGGTGTTGGCACTCACCTTGCTGTGTTCTTGTGCAGTTCCTTCTGCTGTGGGATACCCTTCATTTCACACTGATGCTCCTCAACTTCATTGTCATATAACTCTTCACACCTTCTCACTGTGTTGGCCATTTCCCTTTGTATTTTACCTTTTCTGACTGCAAACTGCTCTACTGCTTCAGCCTGGGACGGTGTAAGGCCTCAGTGACCACAGTCTCCCAAAATTCATCTCTAGCAAGCTGCTGTTGGCTTCTCCCTTCTCTGTATACTGAGATAAATTAATGTAAACCATATGATAAAGCAGAGATGCTCATCACATTCCAGAGTATCAAAGACTAAATCCTGTCACTGTGATGCTCTTGTAGATAAGCTTTGATCTAAGTGGGGTTTTCTTTCCAAGGTTGGTGTGTGGTGTGTTCCAGCCTCTGGAGGGGTGTGCAGGAACACTCTGCTGGGGTTGACCATGCACATTTATCAGAGAACCATTTAGGATTTAGGGCTTTGTTGGCAGGAGTGGTGACATCTGGTCTTACATATCTTTGTTGCTCATCAGCTGCTGCTCTTCGGGTACTGTAAGGTTGGTTTTTGATAGTAAGTACGTGTAATTATCTTTAGTTTTTCCCAAGAAACCTCACTTTTCTTGAGTTACAAGGGAGCTTTGTTACCAATAAGGCCCAAAATATTGCTGTTTCATTTAAACTTAGTAATACTGGCTTTAGGAATAGGTGAGGTTAACTCCATGGCAGAAAAAGTTTTGCGTGTTGAATTGCATTGTTTGGGTTTTTTTTTACCTGCTATATATGAAAAAGCATTGTGCTCCACATGCAGAACAGCTTATGATCACTGTACTTGTAAAGTTCAGTGTGTGACTGACTAAACTATTAGAGTTCTCCCATTAATGTGGACTCTGTTAGTGAAATAAATAAATTGCACATCAAACATGTCTGCTGGAGAAGAGTGTGGTTTTGTTCTCATCTCAGGCTGCTTTCAAGAATTGCAGGTGTTCTCTCTGTGTGCCTGTGATGTGAGAGATGACTGAATTTGAGGGGGACACACCAAATTGACTTAACATGCACTTCTTGTGGGCAAGGATGGTTCTGGTGTGTGCAGTTCTGTGCTTAACACTCAACAGGGTTTCAGTGAAGTGACTGAATGTCACATTGCAGAGTTTCAAGTCTGTCTGTATGATTTCTTTTTCCCATTTAACAGTAACCTTTTTTAGCTGCTCCCTGCTTTACAGCTGAGACTGAGGGTTTTTTGTTTCTGCTTAAAAAGCAGCAATCATTTGAAGCTGACCTGGTCACTGTATTGAAGTGGAGCAATTACCTGTGCATAAAGTGCTCCTGGCCTGGTTTGGTCAGCACAGCTGCAGGTACAGCTCAGGAGTGGCTGGGTGCTGAAAGGATCTGTGCCCTGCCCCAGGTAGGAAGGAGAAGTGTGGCCCAAGCAGGAGATTTCTTGTTTGATAATGTCCTGCTCTGACTCTCTGTCAGCTGTTATCTTCCCCACTGAGTCACACAAATGTCCGGAGAATCACAAGGTGCTGGCTCCACTTCCTTCTTCTCTCTGCTGCCTTGAAAGGATTGCATTTCAACAAAACTGAGCCAGCAGGAACCACCCCAACATTTCTAAACCATACATGTTCAGAGAAGTCAAATGAGAGGAAAACTTATTTTTAGTAATGCAGGAGCCAGAGTTACACAGGGAGATCCAGCACTGAGCATAAACCAGTTCTCACAGATTTTATTGTCTCACCAGGCTGCTGGTTTGCTGCCCTAAGTTGTAATGGTGAAGTGTGTTGGGCAGAAAGGGTAAAGGCACACTTAGGACAGATTGGATTGGTTTGGGTGGTTTTTGCATCTGGCTCCACTGGCTCTGCTCTCAAAGAGTGGCTGTCCTGTGCTGCCCTGTCTGTGGGCTCTGGGAGTGCCTGCCACTGACCTCTATACCTCAGAGGAGGAGTGGAATGGGGGTTGCACTTGGTGTTGGAAACAGAGGGTCTAAATCCACCAGATCCCAGCTTTCGGAATACACAGGCCAGCTCTTGAGCCTTCCCTTGTTGCTTGTCACTTACCAAAATGACCCTAATACAATACAATCTCCAAATCCATAGTGTTTTTTCTCCTCACTCTGTTGTCCTTCCACCCCCTCAGAAGAAGCCCTTGAGCTGTGTAAGAGCTGTGTGTGTGAGAGAGCAGCAGTTTAACTGTGTCCTTTTAAATTTTAAATCCAAAACCTGCTTTAGGAAGGAAGTTAAAAGTAGTTTCAAGAGCTCTGCCTGTTCTGCAGGTGAAAACTCAGTTTTGCAGATTTTCTTTGTGGAATTTCCTGCTTGCATCCTTCCAAGGCCCTCAGCTGGACAGAGCGGAGGTAGAGCCAGAGGTTTTCATTAATATTAAAAGATATACAGAGTGAGGGTAGAAGAATGAGATACACTTTCCAGCTTTGTATTTATGTATTTTTGGGAGTGTTCTTTTAACAGACTGAGAGCACAGGACTAAGGCAATCCAATTGACTTAAATAACATAAGGATTTTTGTTCCCTTTCAACTTGGGCAGTGCCTCTAGGCCTCATCTCATACTTGTTTCTTAGAACTAATTCTCAAAATGCAGTTAGCTCAAAACAAGTCCTTTAAATAAAAGCATGACAATTATATTTGAGACCCTTGCCAGTCACTTAGGTGTCACCTTCCCCTCTTTTCTCACCTGGTGACCTGGATGTAAATTGTAAATTTAGTGGTAAGTAGTTAGTGTGAGGCCCCTTGTGGGAATAGACTATTCCATGCTTCTACCTTCATATTTTTTTTCCTTTGAGTAATACAAAAGCTGCCTCTGCAGGGCGCTTGGCTACCCAGAGTGACTTTGTAGGCTGAGATTCTTGCCTTGGTGAAGCTGAGTGTGTGGGGTTCACACGTCTGTCTGTCACACAGTGGACAGGCAGACTGTTCCAAACTGCTCTGGCTAAAATTCATTGCAAAAGTAAAAACTTTGGTTTGGGGAACAAAGTAATGCCCAAACAGCAAAATCTTGCATAACATCCTCATTCCCCTAATTTTTTTTATTAAAAATAAATTCCTTTGAATTCCTTTGATTACCAGCAGGATGGTGAGCATAACTTTTAAAGTTTTTTTTTTTGTAAAGCAAAGAGAGTTCCTATGCCAGTTCCAGTCTTTCCAGGTGGTAAGAGCATTCCTGCTGTTGATCTAGCCCTCTTTTTTTCAACAGGTATGACAGTTCAGCGATCAGAATTACATTCTTGATCAAACTCCTACCATTAACTTGCAACCAAGCAATCAGACAGTGCCAGCTTTGTGACTCAAACCAGTAAGATTTCTTCCTGCGCCTTCCTGTCTCCCTCCCCACTTGCAGTCTGGATAAGCAGCATCAAAAAAGGATGCCTAATTGGGCAGTTGGACAGTCACAGAGTAACTCAAAACTTGGAGAGAAAAAGAAAACACGCAGAGAAGGGGTCCTGTTGAATCAATGCAAGTCCTCTGTCAATTATGCAGCCTACTTAACTAGATGGTCCACGGGTTTATCTTCAGACTGAGCAGGTCTTTGTTGTCAGATCAGTGGGACTGACTACACTTTTCCCTGAATAAATACTTTATTCAGCATCACCGTGTGTGTCCCCCCTCTGAGTTGCTTTTCCCACCCTGTGCTTGGCTTGTTGAAATCCAGCAGCTCTGTTCATCGATGTGATTCTGTAATTCAACCAGGCTCATTTAAAGCAGATCCTTCAGCCCTGCCTTCTGTTTTGTGGGTGCCTTTTCACTAGCTCTGTCCATCCTCCTCACTGTGAAGGGGTTTGGTGGAAGGTCTGGCAGTGGTAGAAGCCATCTCTGGTCATTGCTGGCATCGGTGCTGTCTGGTCCTTCAGCCTGATCTGACCAAGCTTTTCCTTCTGCTTCCAGGCCAAGGAGTGTGGTCAGATGCAGAACAAGTGGCTCATGATAAACATTCAGAACGTGCAAGATTTCGCCTGCCAGTGCCTCAACCGTGACGTGTGGAGCAACGAGGCTGTGAAGAACATCATCAGGGACCACTTCATTTTTTGGCAGGTCAGAAATTGCCTGGGGATGAATGTGTGGCTAACATGGTGCCTTGATAGATGGGACAGTGGGAAAAAAATTGAATTATTTGGGAAAGATGGAATTCTCCAGGTGAACCTGCAGAAAAGGTGTGTTTCATGGATTGTATGTAGTTTATGGATGGAGATGGAATTCCTGGACATGCATTTGAAGGCATAAACTGCCTTTCACTTGTGCAATCCAGATGTTACCATGTAGTTTCTAATACGTGGAGAGCTAGAGGCTTAATTCCAGCTTGTCTGAGTTAGAGGCTTAATTCCAGCTTGTCTGAGTTACTGACAACTGTGTGTACCATTTGCAGTTTATACTGTAGAAGAGAGAAAAACTCTGCATTTTCAAGGTACAGATTGTTTGTGTTCCCTCTCCAGCCACTAATTTTGCCCATTTTTGTAGGTGTACCACGACAGCGAGGAAGGACAGCGGTACATACAGTTTTATAAATTAGCAGACTTCCCTTATGTCTCCATCCTGGATCCCAGGACAGGTAAGACAAGTGGCAGCTGCTTTGCCTGGAGTTATCCATGGCAAGCACTGACAGTTGTAGGCTGGAATTCCACTTCAGGTTGTGTTACACTTGGCTGAAGAATCTCTTCAGGACTGACTCAGCGTGTTCCCAGAGGAACTAAGGGAATTAAACACCCAAAACTTGCAGAAATTTTGTGTATTTGAAGCTTGGCGAGTATTTTGCTTAGAAAGTGAAAATAGTTCCATCTGGTGGAAAAACTCTGAATTCTTTTTTTTAAGTCTTTCAAAAGCTTCTTGAAATCATGTGGTGATTAACTACAATATTTGTAATTGCTACATGAATCTGCTTTCTGCTCCTCCCACAGAGCTTTGTGAGGCTCAGCAATGACTTTAAATTGCTTCTTAATTTTGAAATGCCATTTCAGCTTTGAGTTTTTGTTTTGTTTTGCTTGTTTTTTACCTGAACAATCAAACCTCTCCCTCTTCTTCCAGCTCTTTCAAAGTTGTTGCTTTTTCTTTTGTATCCAGCAGCTTCTTTTATCATCATATAATGCAGCTGCCTGGTTATGTAATGTTGGTCTGGTCTCCTGTTTCTAAGGTCTGAAGTGATAGAGATGAGACCTCTGTGTAGCTGACCTAAACCACCCAAAAATACATACAATTTTTAATATTGCAGCTGAAGTTAGAATACTCTTCTTAGCACTTTCCTTCTGGGAACAGATGCTGGGGGTTAGAATCAATTTCGCAAGAATGAAGAAATGCTTGTTCATAAACTCAGTGGTTTTGTTTTGAGGTCAAATTCACCATTCTGTGCTCAGGTTCCCATAGGTTAAAAGAAAAGAATGGAAATAAACTGTGCCTGTATCCATGTCTGTCCCTTTTCAGGGGAGTGGAAGGAGGAAGCTCCATAATTATCAGGTGGTAGCCTGTGGGAAGCTGCAGTTCCTCAAACAGGGACTCTTGCAGCAGTGAGTTGGTGTGTTTGACCACTAAACTGCGGCGTTTTGCTGAAATTTTGTTTGATGCCACCTTTTGTTCCCTAGGCCAGAAGCTCGTGGAGTGGCACCAGTTAGATGTGACTTCTTTCCTGGACCAAGTGACCGGGTTCCTGAGCGAGCACGGCCAGCTGGACGGCCACTCCAGCAGCCCTCCCCAGAAATGCTCCCGCTCAGTAAGTGTGAGGCTCCTCAGCCTGGAGGAACACTCTGACCTGTGCTGGTCCAGCTCTCCTGATTTCCCAGACACACTCAAGGAGTTAGTGCCAGGGAATGCCTTCTCCCAGGGTCACTGTTTGTGCTTTTGGCACTTGGTTTGGATTTAGCAGTCAGAGTGTGAAAGGAATATTGATTACTCCATGCAGAACTCCAAGGAGAAGCCATTAATTACAGCTTAGCTTTCCCTGCTGTGCATTCCTGACAGGCTTAGTGGCTTCCCTTTTGGAAGACTGATGTCGTTTTGGTTTTCAGTACATCTTTGCAGGCAGTTGTGATGTGTGTGTTGTCTGCATCCCACAGGAGAGTCTGATCGATGCCAGTGAGGACAGCCAGCTGGAAGCTGCCATCAGAGCCTCGCTGCAGGAGACCCATTTTGATTCCTCACAGGCCAAGCAGGAGAGCCGGTCGGACGAGGAGTCGGAGTCGGAGCTTTTTTCTGGAAGCGAGGAGTTTATTTCTGTTTGTGGGTCTGAGGAGGAGGAGGAGACAGAGATTCCAGCCAAGCTGAGGAAGTCTCCACACAAGGACTTGGGGTATAAAAAAGAGGAGAGTCGGAGGCCTCAGCCTGAGCCCTCTGCAAGGACTGAGCCTGGGACAGCGTCAAACCACAGAGTCCTGCCCTGCATCGATGCAGGGGCACTGGAGGAGTCACCTGACAAGCCTGAAAGTACCTTCCGGGGCCTGGATGTGAATGGTAAGTGCCCCTTTTTAGTGCTTTTGTTGTGGCTTTTTTGCCTGAAACTGTTCATGAGCTGCCAAGCCTGCTTTCATCCCTTCCTTTAAAAATCCCCTCTGATTTCCTACCTCCTTGCCAGCAGACATGTGAGTGATTCAAGGGCAGCTGTGCCCCAGCCTGCAGAGCCCTCTGGGTTCCCTGGCTCGTGTCCTGCCCAGGAGTAAAATCCACTCTGGTGTAGCTCAGGTGCTCTGGGCACTCTGGCTGGGGTCAGTCACTGCTGCTTTGGAAGAGTCCTGAGCCTCATGTGTGTATTTGAGCATTGTGGTAGAAATTTATCTCCACAGGCTGGAGCCTTGAGTTTGTCTCCAGTCCCTCACCCTGCTGTGCTGTCCCACCTAAAATCTACCCAGGAGCTCAACTCAGCTGCCCTGGTGTTAACTTGTGATAAATTCCTTTGTGTAGGACCAAAGGCACAGCTGATGCTGAGGTATCCAGATGGAAAGAGGGAACAAGTTTCACTGCCTGAACAAGCTAAACTTCTGGTGAGTGCACTTAATGGGAATCCTTGTCTGAGTAGAGGAAGGATGAAGCTGGGGAGACACTGTGGAAATCAAATCTAGTGGGAGAGGTGTATCCAGGGAGTGCTTGCACTGTGTTCCACATCATTCCTCTCTGGTAACTGCTGGCTCTGTGTGTCTCCACTGCAGCTTGGGGTTTGTGTACACGCCAGTGTCTTCCTCAATCCCCACACTGCTCATTTCCATTATAAAATGACTCTAAATGGCTTTTACATTAATCGTTAATTACCATAAAATGCTCTCAGCTTTCTCATGTTTCTAAAAGTTGGTTTCCATGGTAAAATCAAAGGCAAAACTCCTAATTCTCCATGTCTCCCATCATACTTCCACCCCCCCTTCTGGACATGGATGTTGGAGCAGACTTTGGAGGAAGTTCTCCCAAAACAAATGTATTACAGAATGTGGTGGTTTTGCATGGCAGGTAGAATTTTGGTCAATTACTGTGCCTCAGATGTGTCTCAACTGTGCTTTGTGCTCCTGATCTTGGAGAAGTCCATGTGAATGGCATTTCCATCAAAATTTTCCAGGTGCTTACCTGGGAGCAGAGTGTAAAGAGGTTACTGTGCTCCTGTTTGCCATGAGTTTTCAGGAGACAGTGGCTAGTTAAGCTCATTTAAATGTAGTCAGTCTAACAGCTGGAGTCACAGGGAAGGCAAATTCACACCTCATCAGAAGGATTTTGTGTAGGTTTGGGAGAAAAGTGTCTGTCCCTTACAGAAAATGGGGCTATTGCCTAGCCAGCAGCTCTAGGAATGTGCAGTATCCTCAGCCCATGTTCTCATCCTTGACTCTTCTGCTTGAAAATAAAAGGAAAAAAAAAGTTTGACTGCCTTTTGAATGCAGCTTGTTAAGTAAATTTGCATATATTATTAGATATGTGACACTTTTGAATACTTAAGCAATTCATTTAGGCAGTACAAAAGTGGAATATTGAAATAAATCCTGACTTTTGGTTTGGCTCCTTTTATTGACTGTGGAAGTTGAAGGAAATTTATCTCAGCATGTGATTTCCCTTCTGCTCTACAGTCAGCAGAGAAATTTAGCTGAGTCAAGGTTTGTGGGTAAAGACATCTTCTGGTTGCAGAGCTGAACAAGCAGCATTTGTGCTCATCTCATGTGATCTTCTGGAGCCTTTCAGTCAGATCCAGATTGAGTCTCAGGTGTTTCTTTGTGAGCATCATTTCCATACTGATTTTTTTCAGCCTTTAGTTGCTTCCATTTTAAAGCTGACCAGAACTAGCAAAAGAAATTGCTTAAGGAGACAGTTGCAGTTCAGGAGTTTTAACTCCCCAACACTGGTTTTAAAAATGCTTTATTTTTATTTTTAATCATTTTGTTGTTATCGACAAAGCACTGGCTTCCTTACACACATTATTTCCAGGAGGTGCTTATGCTTCCAGTATTACCACGATGCCCTTTCTTTCCCTCTAGAAAATAAAAAAAAGGCAACACTTTTTAAAGGAAAACATGATTTGTTCCCATTCTGACTTGTGTGACACTGGCTTGCCTTCCTTTCTCCCCAGGCTCTTGTGAAACACGTGCAGTCCAAAGGATACCCCAACGAGCGCTTTGAACTGCTCACCAACTTCCCTCGGAGGAAACTCTCCCACCTGGACTATGAGATCACGTTACAGGAGGCAGGCCTGTGTCCTCAAGAGACTGTCTTTGTGCAGGAAAGGAATTAGCACTGTGGCCTGAGTTCTCCCAGCCTTGCTCCCTCTCCTCTTTGCCTGGGACAGGAGTCGTTAAATATGCAGTTAAGGGTCGTGGGATTGCAGTGCTGGAATCAGGCAGCTGGCTGGCCCTTCCTTCTCCCTCCTCCTCTCTCTCCCTCCCTTCTCCCTCTCTAGTGACCAAATGAGAGTGCTCTGAGTTTTATTTTCTTCCTCAGCTGCAGAGAGCATTGGGAAGAACATCTTTCCTCTGCTTTCCTGGAATAAAGTAAAACGGTGATCTGTGTATCCAGCGTGCTGGAGCTTGGAGTGGCCATAATACACAAACCCTTCTCGCTGCTATTCTTAAATCTCTTTTGTTTAATTTATTTTTGAAAAGAGTGTGTGATGAGGCATGGAGGCATCTCTCTGTGAGGAGAGGGCATAACCTTCAGGGCAGTCTTTCCTTTGTTTGGATTCCCTACACAAAAGGTCTCCGTTAACCTTCCAGCCTTCTCTTATCCAGCACTCTAGTTTTGGAAAGGAGTTGGGTTGAGCCATGCTAAAATGCTCTGCTCCATCTAATTCAAAGGCTTCTAGATTGCCTGCACGTTTTCCTCCTGCTTTTAATTGCCAGTGGACCTAGTAAAAAAACCAGCCAACCCCCCAGAAATCCAGCTGTGCTCCATATGGGACTGACTGCTTGGCCCAGAGGGAAAGCTGTGAGTCCAGTGCTGGAGCAGAGCCAGCTCCTTGGAGGGGGTGGGTGGGTTATCCATGTTCTCTTCCCAGCATCCTCAAAGTGTCTCCTTACTTGCTCTCAGGATTTTGCAAATAACAAGGGTACTGTAAAGGTTTTGGATTCTCTGAACACACCTGCCACAGAGACCTGACAGTCAGTTGGCTTTTTTCTTTTTTTCTTGGAGTGAGTGGCATTACAGGGGTTTTACAGCACTGGCAGCATTGAGCATCACTTAATGCTTCATAAAACACTTCCCAGCCTGGTGGCTTGAACTCCCTGGGGTGATTTTTGTTCTATTTCTGTGTTCATCTACTGTCACTTACCTCTAAATTTGGAGGGCTGCATGGAAGGCTGCTCCTTGATGCAGGCCTTCCTTTCAGCTCTGGAAGCTGGCACCACAAGTCAGTGCCTGGTTTTCCTCCAGTGTCTTCTCTAGACATGGAGCTCTTGGCCAGTTGGTGTTTCAGCAGATGTTCCAGTGGGACAGGAGTTAACTGGCACAGCCCTCAGCACAGTGTGGTGGATTTGTGTATTTACAAACTCAGTTTAATGTGGTCTTCAATCACTGAGGAGGAAGGCACATGGGACCTGGCATAACTGCTGACTTTTTCTGCCTCTCTCAGATGATTGTCTTTGTTAAAGACTTCAGTAGTCAGAAATTTACATACTCCAGTTTTTCAAGATATTTTGCCTTTGATTTCATGCTAGCATCTGTACTTTGAAACCTTTAAATGCAAGAAATCACAGAAAATGTCTGGCATTCCCCATGAAAACTTCAGCTCACAGCTGTCTCCTGCTCCTAATTGAGGTTTGACATGTAATCATGCAATTTGAGAAGTTGATTTCCCTTTCTGCTGCAGGATGTAGTGTCAGGAAAGCAGAGTCTCATCTCAGTTTCCTGACCAGTGGTTGATGTGACACCAGTTGTCATCTTTGGTTTGTAAAGATCCCCAGGTGTGGGGCTGCTCCCAGCGTGGGGAAGTGAGGGGGGATCTCATGTTTGGCCTGTGGAGCAGCAGTGGCACCTCTAGGACTGAAGGATCCTTTAGTTCCTGGATATCCAGATCCCTAACCCACATTTCCATGTAGACCTACAGCTCCTGAAGCAGCTCCAGCTGTCTGGTTGGAATAACAAGTCCCAGGTGTGGTTTACTGGCACCTTCCCTCCCCTGCCCCTCCTGGGCCTGTGTGTGGGGCTGGGCTGAGCTCTGTGATGAGACCAGGAATTGCTCAAACAGGGGAAAGAAGATAGGGAAGTTGAACATTGACACTGAAAATGGCATTTTCTCGTGGTTTCTAAGAGTTTGTTCTGTTCCAGGAAACTGGCTTGGATTTTTTGTATCTGTCTCACAGTGTCGTTTTTTCTCTCACCTTTCTTTTGCTTTGCTTTGAGAGCAAGAAACAGAGAAAAAAAGTTTTTAAGGAATACATAACCCTGCATGTGGCTCTTCTCTTTGTTCATTCCTCTCTCTCTCTCCTTCCCAACCAAACAAGCCCAGTGCCACACAGCAGCTGTGCTGTGGGGGCTGAAAGCTGATGAGAAGCTGCACCAACCACGGTACAACCTCTTCAGCTCTTCATCCCTTTGGAGGAATGTGTTTTGCTGGCCTGAGGAATGTGGTTGAAAACACAAATCAAGTCCTGCCTGGGACAGGACAGCTCGTGGCAGTGAAGGTGATGGGTTGGGCAATGTTTAAAGAGCCTTTGAAGAGTCACTTCTAGATGTGAAATCTGAACCTCTAATTGCCTTTGCTGGAAAAAATGTGTTAAATTTGGTTGGGAAATACGATGTTGAGCTGTGAAGGACAGAGGAAACCAATCCTTCAAAAGCTGTGGTTTGTGGCTTCCTGTGAGTGTCCCTGGGTCAGGATTTGCTGCAAGGGCTGGTAGGCAGCAGAGGAGCAGCAGTGCATGGAGGCAGTGCAGGTTCTTCTGAGTGGAGAGCTGTCAGGGATGTTGTGTTGGAAGCTGGAGCTCCTTGCTGCTGGTGGAGATGTTCCCTTTGCTGTGCTCTTCATCTGACACAGCTCTGTTTTGGGATCCCATTTGGTCACGACCAGGATCCTGGAACAGAAGGGGAAACAAGCTCTGCCTCTCCCTGCCAGGTGCAGCTGACACATTCACTTCCCACTTCAGAGGAATACAGAAGGATTTTGGATCTTTCTGATGCTGCATGGTCTTATGTCAAGCTGACTGACTCACAGCATTCCCCACTGACCTAGAAAGGGCAGGTGGAAGCTGGGCCAAACATGTCTGGCCATACTTGTGTTATTTTCTTTAGGCTTTGAACCAAGGTCTGTGACTTTTATGATTTCTGACATTCATGGACTGCACTGCATTGCTTTTCCTGCTAAATCAGTTCGGTTAACACCACTGATGTTAGAGGAATGTCAGGATCTGCAGGTGGCCTTGTAGATACAGTTTTCTGTAAAAGGCATCCAGATGTAACATTATTCCTAAGTAGATCTAAACAGGAATTTTCCATCAGCTCTTTCCAGAGCTCCCTGACCTCCTCCTCACTCTTAGGGGAAGTGACACCTCTCCTTTGTCCAGCTTGTGTTTCACAGGGTCCACATCCTTCAGTGAGTGATTTGTACACTCAGCTTGCCCTGGCACTGGTGCTGAAGTGTGTACCTTTGCAGAAAAACTGGGTTTGGTGCAGGTTTTAGTAACTCAGCCTCTCTGCTGAAGGATCTCAAATTCCTGTTCCTGCCAGAGCTTCACTGGCACTCGGGCAACAAGGGCTAAATTAAAATCAGTTTTCTTTTGGGGGCAGGGCAGCATTTGGGCTGTTTGTCAGGTAGCAAACACTGCAGAGATGCTTGAAACATGGTGGTTTTTTGGTAAACCACATAAAAACAAAATATGAACGTAGGGACCTGTGTAGGAATGTCTGTGTGAACAGGAAGATCTGTATCATTTCAGGGCCTCATCACTTCATTTTTATTCCTTTTTATTTTGTGCTAAATGTCACTATTTTATTCTGGTTTAACCCCTGTTTAGTGAAGTTGATAAAACAGGCAGTCTGGTCCTTCAGGCAGTCTGATCTCCTCCAAGTCTGGTCCAAGAGGAGAAGGGGTGGCAGAGTTGTGCTTTAGGTGGGTGAAGGGCAAAGCTGCTGCCCTTAGGGATCGGCTGTGCCTCATCTGGCTGTTCCCACAGGCTCAAGTCCAGCCTCTGCTCTCCCTCACCCTGTCTATTTATTTATTTTCACAAGTGATTTTCTATAAGTGGAACAGCTCCTGTTTCAAAGGCAGCACAAACTGATGCTGAGCCCTGTGCTGGCTGCGTTGTTGGAAGCACCCACAGGCCTGTGTGCATTTGGAGCTGGGGAGGTTAATGGATGCCCTTTCTGTGCTGACTTTTTTTCCTGTCTCCTCTTGTCCTTGGGATGCTTGGTGTCTGTGCAGTCCCAGCAAACAGAGCCATATCTATTTACACCCACAGGGCTTCAGTCAGAGACTGCTGCACCTGACAGCAGTGCCTCGACCTGCCTCGGGTCATCCACTGTGTTCCATGGGCACCTTGGAGGGGAGGACAGAAATTGGGGATTTGGTCGCTGACAGATCACTGGGAGTGTCTGCAGTGAGGGAAAAGTCACTTTGTAACTGCTTGTGAAATGGTGCCCAGATTGGAGGTGTGGAACTGAAACTGTGTGGAGCAGGGGATGAGGTGCTATTTTTATAGACCAGATTTATATGAAGAACATCTGGGTAAAACTCAACTCAGAGACACCAGACTCTAGGACAGATGATTTTTTTAAAAATGAGGCTGTTTCCTGGAACTGGGGAACATCCAGTTTCTAAGGGACAGCTTTTCACAATGGTCAGTTTATTCAATAGTTGCAACTTCACATGGGAGGAGGGAGAGGATTAATTTGGAAGTTTTCAGCTCACTGTGCTGGGAGGGACCAAACTCAAGGAAACCTCTGATCTATATACACAACTGCTGCATTTTTTATAAATATATGTAAATGTCCTATTGTAATATTTGATCCTGGAAATAAAACAAACTGTTTTCAGTAGCTTTCTTCAGCTCTTGTTTTTTTGGGGTTGGGGTTTATTTGTTGGTTTAGTTCTAATGGAATCTGTCCCTGTGTTATTTGTGGAGTTCCTGAGTTCTTCCTTAAGGATACTGGGCTAGAAGGATAAGGAGCTGTTGATGACAGCACTGCCCAAGAAAGCTTCAGGCTGTTGTAGAGGATAGAAAATCTTGAAATGGGACAAACTTACAGGACCTTGACAGGAAAAATACCTGTATGAAAATGAGTAAAAAGAGGCAGGGCTAAGTTTTCCATCCTTCCCAATGGAAGAGCAGAGGAAATGGGGCTCTCTGTTCTGAGCTGTCAGTGTCCTCCTGGTACAGGTGGTGGCAAGGCAGAGCCTCTGGCTTGTGCAGCTGAGTTTGGGCTCCTTGGGACGTTCCTGTCGTGGCCTGGTGTGAAATGCTGAGGGGCAGGGGCCCTTCTGGACCAGGACTGCCAGGTACAGTGGAGAAAGAGAAATTAAGAAACCAATTTTGGGTCATCCTCGTGTTCTGGCTGCAGGTAGGTCTCCGCTGTGGGAGCTCAGCCCCTGCCTGGTCTTGAAGCTGAAATCAGGGAAAACCCTGAACTCTTCACGCAGCCTAGGAAATATCTCCAGTTCCAGCTGAGTCAGGAATCAGTCTGCAGGTCAAGGAACTGCAGAGATACCTCAAACTCAAAATACCTCTTGGGTTTCATTTACTTGTTTTTCCTTTCTGTACACTTCCAGCTTTTCATGGGGTTGGTTTATCTGAACTGTAAATTCAGGTGACATTTGTAAGCCCTAAAGGGAATATTGTCCAGCACTGTGTTGGTGATTCCTCAGCCAGTTCCAGCCACAAACACCCTGCAGGGCTTGTCTAAGGGGATTTTGGAGAAGTCTTGGCTGAGTAGTGGCACAAACAGGTTTGCAGCTGCTGAGGAGGGGAGTGGGAGAGACCAGAGGGGTGCTGAGCATCTTCCATCCAGTGTCCTTCCCAGCAGGTCAGACTGCCCTCAGCCTCTTTGGTTCTCCTTGAAGCCAAACCACTCTTGGATCCCAGCCTGCTGTGCAGCTTCCCCAGCCCCACAGGAGCCTGGGGAGGCAAAGGGCAGGAGAGCAGGGAGGTGAAGGCCCCTCTCCAGCTGTGAGGAACCAGCAGGAGGACCTGGCCACGCTGGAATTGCGTTAGGTGGGATCACGTTTGGCTGTACCAGGGCTGGGTGAGTTGGCAGCAAGCTCCTTGCTGTGCTGACACTTTCACAGTAACTCTGGCGTGAGAAAGGCAAGCACGCAGCCCCTCACGTGCAGGGCTAAAATTAGCCTTATGTTAGGATTATTCTTACAAGGAAAAGACCAGCAATCCAGGGAAGAGTCAGCTGGATGCTTCACACTTCCTGGCGTGGGGTTTTCTGTGGGAGATGATGGAGCAGGTCATGTGTGTGGTGGGAACCTCAGATTGCTGTGACGTAGGAAAGGCACAGGATGAGGTTGCAAAACATTTTCTTCCAGCAGAGTGAAAAACAGGTTCCCCTCTTTCAAACTGAAAAAAGAGAGGAAGGAGAACTTGGACTCTGCTTATCCTGCATGCGTTGTCTGTCTTCATTTTGGATTTTGGAGAGTTTTATTTAAGGATGAAATACCCTGAGATTAGCTCAGGTGCTTGAGGCCAGTGCTAAGGCTGCCAGGGTCTCAGGTTCAATCCTGCACGGGCTTCAGGGTTGGACTCCATGATCCTGCTGGGTCCCTTCCCCTCAGACTATGCTGAGATTCTGTGACTAAAATGGGAATTCCTCTCCTGGTGCCAGCTCTGATTTTCCTTTCAGAGGGACTGTCAGATACTCTGCTCCTCAGCTCTTTTTCACAAGAGGAATGGAATTGCCTGCTGTAACTCGGCCTTGCCCATTCATCTTTTCCCATGTGGCTCTTGGAGGGCTCCCAAAACTTTTCTTTGAGCTCTTCCTTCTGCCTGCACAGCACACGAGCCATTCTTCTCTTTGCTTGGGCCACCTGCAACTCCTCTGCCAACAAAACTGCCCCATTTTTGCCATTTTTTGCTGCTATTGTTTCCCTGACTCCTGTTCTCAGAGGTCATTGATGTTCTCCTGCTCCTGTTCCTGACCTTCTCTGTGGGAATTGGAGTTTCCCCGTGGCACGTTAACTGCCAGCCATGGCAGATAGGAAATGCTGATATCTGAGGATTTATAATAATGAAGATATCCAGAAATAACCTTCCTCTCTCAATCTCATTACCAAGGCATGAGACACACACGTGGTGGGGATGCACTCAGCACCTGAGGAAAAGCTGAGACACCTGTGAGGAAGCAGAGGGTGGGAGGTAGGAGCCAGTGGACACAGGGGAATATTTGTTCTGAAGCTTTTATTGAAGTGTTAGAGAGGAAAGCATTATCCCAACAGGTTGTTCCAGGAGCAGCAATGCTCACTACTCGGGCAGTGGTTGAGGCATTTAGTGCAGACGTGGTAGGAGCCTTAAAATCTGAGGGTGTGCCTGTTTTGGTGAGCTGTGCCAGCGTAAATTCTGAAATGGGGAAGAGCCAGCAGCAGAGGCTGGCTCATGCAGCCACTCATCCTTCCCTGGGATGGGAACACAGAGGGTCATGGCCTGGTGGGCGGCCCTTGGGGGGCAGGAGGGAGGGGAGCACTCGCTGAGCTGTCATAAATATCACCCATGGGTGATGCCTGGGCCAGGGCTCATCCAGGGCTGGACGCTGCTGCCCTGCGTGGCAGCACTCCAGGTAAGCTGGGAAGGGGGAAGAAGCTCCCTGGGCTTTGCTGGAATCTCTGTGCTTTTGGTCATGGAGAAGGGAGAAGGGAGTCCTGCCTTCCAGATGGACACAGGGGCACCTGCACTTTGGCTTTGCCCTCCCTGCACTGGGGTCTGTCTGTGCTGGCCGAGGAGCTGCCTGCTCAGGGGGAGGTTTGGAAGGGACAGCACAGGGAAGGAGAAAGAGACCCCCTGCCATCCCCAGGGAGAGGGCAGCAGTGGAGGGGAAGGAGAGTGCTTGGGGAGCTGCAGGGGAGATGAGCAGAAAGGTGAGAGCCCCGGCTGCGAGCTCAGAGGAGCAGCAGCTGTTCCAGAAGGTGTTGGGGAGGTGGGACTCACAGAGGGCACTCATGGCTGTGGCAAGAAACAGCCACACACAATCCCTGGGCTGTGTGGAAACAGCCACACACAATGCCTGGGCTGTGGAAACAGCCACACACAATGCCTGGGCTGTGGAAACAGCCACACACAATGCCTGGGCTGTGGAAACAGCCACACACAATCCCTGGGCTGTGGAAACAGCCACACACAATGCCTGGGCTGTGGAAACAGCCACACACAATCCCTGGGCTGTGTGGAAGCAACTACACACGATGCCTGGGCTGCAGGCAGGACCTCACTGGGGGCAAGAGGCCCTAAATTCCCTGTAACCAAGGCAGGAAGGATGGAAATCAGGAGAGGTGGGATTCTAGGATGTGTGGAGCTGATGGTCCCCCTCAGGTGTCTCAGAGCCCTGTCCCTCCATGCTCAGCCCTCCCCAGGGCCCTGCTGGGACTGGCGTGGCCGGCCCCCTGGACTGGTGTCCCCCAGCCCCCCGGGCAGTGCCAGGGCTGGATGTGCTGCCCTGGCCGCTCCTCCCTGGCCCTGGGGCCCTGCAGGAGGGGCTGAGCTGCTCTTCCCACAGAGCCAACCCCGCGGTGCCGCAGCCGCTTCTGCTTCGCAAAGCCAGAGCAAGAGCCAGCTGGAGCTGGGGAACTTGTGCAGAACGGGCTGCAATCGAGCAGGAAAGGGGAAAACGTGTGAGCCCAACTTCAAGCCAAGAGAATTCAGGGTAGAAAACAGCTGGGAGCCAGGGCAACAGCAAACCGTGCTGTTGTCAGTGGTGCCAGAGTGACCAAAGGACATCCTGTACAAAAAGGGTCTTGTAGGTGCAGAAGAGAGGCAATTTTGGACAAGGTATCACCTGGAGATGGGCAGGTGCTTTCTAGATAAACTCATAACTTAATAAGATGCCAGTGGAACTGGAGGATAGATAATAATGTTTTCTTAATTAAATATAATTGGTTTCAAATAATCAGACCTATGGCAGGGACAGGGATGGAATTGCTGTTGGATTCGATTGGAGTCCAATGTGCTTTCACAAGCCCTTGTACAAGGATTTTACCTCTTTCCTGGCTCCCTCCTGCTCATTGTAAACACTGAAAGCCAAACTGAGCTGGGGTGGGTGCTTGGCTCTCTGCAGTAACATTTCCATACAATCTCAGATTGGTTTTGGTAGGAAGGGACCTTAAAGACCATCTTCCCCTGCCAGGAGCTGGGACACATTTTGAAGGAGCCACACAGGTGTTGGGGTTGGATGTGGGAACACCAGTGCCCGTTTGGCAAAGAATTTCCATCGGAAATTGCCTCAGGTAGGGCAGTGGCAGCAGGGTGGGCTGACACCCAAAAGCACAACCCAGCAACTCCCAGCCACCCGCAGCTGTGAGATGGGCTCGGGGTGGGGAAGCCTCGGGGCGCTGCGGGCCACACGCAGCCCCTTCCTCTCCTCCTCCTCCTCCCCGTGCCCGTGCAGGACAGCCATGTGCGTGGGGAAGTGCAGCCGGATCGTGGGTCCCTGCCTGCTGGTGCTGGGCACGCTCTCCGTGGCAGCCAGCATCCTCCTGCTGTTCCCCGGCGGAGCATCCAAGTACCTGCTGGAGGGGCACATCGGCAGCCACGCCCGCGCCGTGCCGGGGCTCTGGGGCGGCGGCATCGCCGTGAGTACCGCGGGGCTCGCCCGCCCTTCTGCCGGCTCTGGAGCAGGGCCAGAGGGATGGAGCAGGGCGGGCGGCTCCCCTTTGTCCCCCAGCTGTGCTTTTGTCCCCGCAGGTGCTGCTGGCAGCGACTCACGTCACGGCGCTGGGCTGGCGGCGCTCCGGCTGCTCCGCCCGCCACAGCGTAAGCCGGGGCCGGGAGCCCGAGCCGGGCAGCGCGGCGGGACGTGGCCTGGGCAGCTCCTCCGTGGCCCCGCGGCGGCACAGGGCAGGGTGGCACAGGGCAGGGACCCTCCCCTGCCAGGGCCCCACGGTGGCACAGGGCAGGGACCCTCCCCTGCCACGGTCCCGAGGTGGCGGCACAGGGCAGGGACCCTCCCCTGTCCCTCCATGCTCAGCCCTCCCCAGGGCCCCCTGGGTTGTGGCGGGTCCCCCTCCCCTGTGCTGGGCACAGACCCCTTTCTCAGGTGCCACGGCGGGATGTGGTGAACGCCCCCGTCCCCCAGCGGGTCCTGAGGCAGGGTGCTGCTCTCCTATGGCAGGGTGTCACCTCCGCAGGGGACAGGGCTCCAGGCCGTGCTGGGATGGGCTCTGCAGGTCCCTGCCTCTCCCTGCCCACGTCTGCCATGCCAGCCGCGCCTCCATCCTGAGCCACAGCTGGGGAGGGCAGTTCCCCCCCTCTGTTCCCAAACTCTGCTGACAAGCTGCAGCCGCTCTTTGTGTCCCCCTGGCTAGTGCGTGCCCGCGGGTGTCGCTGCAGGCGTTCCTGTCCGTGGTGCTGTCCAAGCTGGCTCTCCTGGGCGCTGCCGCCTGCTTCGTGCTCTGCGGGGTGGGGCTGACGAACGGGCCGCTCTGCCTCCACAACAGCACCGCGCTCGGCCCCGGGCACTCGGCCCGCTGGGGGTACCCCTTCCTGGACGCCACTGAGCTGGGGCCTGATGCCGGGTGAGGGCTGAATCACCGCTGCTGCCTCAACTTAGTGCTAATTAAGTGGGTTAATGAAGGGGAGGGGGGTGGGTGCTTGCTGGTGGTGGTTGATGCAAGACCCTGGTAGCTGGAGGAATCCTCACCTTCCATGGGTTTCTACGTGGTGCTTTCCATCTTCATCACCCTCCCACCTCCCCGCTGAAGCAATTGTAATATCAAGTAACAGAATAGAACTCAAATAAGACGTTGCAGCCCTGTTTGGTAGTTTATTATGAAGTGGAATCATCCCTTTGTATTCACTGTTTGAACCCCACTGCTCCCATTTCTTTACTTCAGACTCTTACCAACATTTCATCATATATGAACCCAAGGTTAATGTTTTATTCCAATGGTTTTGCACTGGAACATCTTGACATTAGCTTCCATGTTTTTGCTTCCAGTGGTCAGGTCAATTTTGGGAGAGATGGCAGAATTAGTTCTTGTATAGGTTTCTTTCCCTCCTGTCACCGTATGTGCTACAAAATAATTCTGTTCTCTTTTTAGATTCACACACATGCATACATGTGATCCTTCTAACCATTCTTTTTCTTGCCTGCTCCTTTCTTTTTTGCTTCTAAACTTTTATTCTGCTCATCCGTTGGATGAAGGATGGGATGTTTGGGGGATGTTTCATGGCAGACAGTGATGGGATTCTGGACCTGCTGCAGGCAGCACCCTGCAGCTTCTCCCCTTGCTGTCACACAGGGCTGAGAACTACCTGTACAACCGGAGAAGCTGGAGCGTCTGCCTGGAGCCCCAGGGCATCGTCACCTGGCACGTGGTCCTGTTCTCCCTCCTGCTGCTCATCAGCGTGGCCGAGATGGTGCTGGCCTCGCTGCAGATCCTCAATGGCTGCCTGGGCTGCCTCTGCGGCTTCTGCGACGGCAAGTAGGGCCGGCGGCAGTGCCAGGAGGAGGTGTCACCTCGGCTGTCACTTGGCTGCCGGCACACGCTGCAGAGAGGGCACAGCAGGAGCCGTGACCCCAGCCCGGTGCAAGAGCCCTGTGTGAGACTGACAGAGGCCCCTGGGATGGACCCCCAGGGGCTGATGAGCCAAGGGCTGCTCCTGTGCAGCTCCCCTGGCTGGGCCAGGTCCCTTCCCTTGGGGCTGGCGGCCGTTTGGCGTTGGGAACTGGCCCGGTAAGGGACAAAGGTGAGGACCTGGCTTCCAGCATCCCGGCATGAGCCCAGCAGCTGCCTCAGCCACCCCTCGTGGTACTGACAGGAGGCAGAGAAGCAATTTCCTGACCCCATCTGGAGCATTAGAAAGCAGGCATTCCTCATCACAGAGCTGGACGCACGCAGGACATCTCCTGTAGCTGAATGTGTGTTGTGGAGCTCCACAGCAGGGGCTTTGCTCCATCATGATCAGACAGGTTCATTACAAGGGGCTTCCGAGAGAACACATCAACATCACTTTTCCTAGAAGCAGTTTACATGCTTCCATCCCTTCCTGGAAGTCCTCTTTTGATCCTAGAGGGCTGTCTGCAGGGGTGTCTGCTGGTTGTACTCCCTGAGTGCCTCAGTGCTGTGACCTTGCCTTGAATGTCTCTCAGGGCACAAGCTGCTGCTTCTCGTTACATAACTTTGCCACAAAAGTCACCATGTTCCTCATTACCTGTTTCTCCACTGGTTCCAGCTGTGTTTAGCATCCTGTCTGCCTACTTTTACACCTTTTTATCTCACTTGCTAGTTAGTCTTTAAGTTCTATTTTGCAACTTCAGTGGAGCTGAAAATTTTTATTCTACATATTGTCTGTCATTTGTCAGCCTCCACCCACCCCGGTGGAAAATGAGACATGGTGGTGTCACAGAGTGAAGAGCTGGACACTCTTGTTAATCAGTTTTGTTAATCAGTTCATATTTAGGGCACTTGAGCAGGGTGTTTGTCACCTGCACGGGCCAGGACAGGTGAAGGAGCCCTGAGGAGCCGAGCTGGAGCACTCGGATGGAGTCGTGCTGGGGGAGGCAGAGCAGGAATTGAGGGGTAACCCCCAAAGTTCACCCACACACCAGTGTCAAGAGTAGCTGCTGCTCATTCCCCAGAGCAGGACCCCGCTCCTGTGCTCAGCCCCCTCCCCACAACCTTCACAGGACCCAGTGTGGGCCTGAGCCTGATGGGCTGGGAGGGGGTTTGTCCCCACACTGACAAGGGTCAGAGGAGAGCAGTGATGGCCATGGCACATTAAAAAACCAAATCCCAGAGCAGACAAAGCAGTAACTGGGCCATTGGGGTGGTTGAACCCCAGATGGCACCTGAGCACCACCCCCATGCCATGGGAGGGTGAGAGAATTGGAGGGGTAAAAGTGTGACATCTCCTGGGTTGACATAAAGACACTTTAATTGAAATAATGATAATAAATTGTAATAAAAAGGAAAATAATGAAGAGAGAGAACTAAAAGCCCAGACAGGCAAGTAATGCAATACAAACATTTCTTTATCATCAGCCCAAATATAAACCCCAGCCCCATCCCAGCTACAATGAAGGAACGGAACTGTACCCCAGCCCAAACCCTCAGAGTGACTTCAGAGAGACCATTGAAAAAAGCCTTTTCATGAAAAAGAAAGAATTTAACATCATATACCATATTTATATAGCATAACTATTTATAACAAGGGGAGGAAAGCCCTCAGAGCAGGGTGGTGGTACCAGGTATGGCACAGCTGGAGCACCACATCCCCCTGAGCCAGCACCTGGCACACAGGGCTGGCACAGGGTACCCCTGGCTGCCTCCCCCCTGCACTGCTGCTGTTGCCCCCCAGTATCTGTTTCCAGAGGTGGCTCTCGCTTGGAGAGGAGCCTGGGGGCAAAAGCCTCCCTACCCAAAACAATTTAAAAAACAGCAATAAAAATGAGATAAACCCCAGTGTGGGGACAGTAACACACCTCTGTGCTGTGTGGCCATGCTGGATGGTGGCAGAACCCAGCCTGTGGGTTGATGCTCCAGGATCCAGCACTGGGGTGGTGGCGGGAGCCAACCTGGGCAGGCTCTAGGAGATGAGGCAGCTCCTCTTCCTCCTCTTCCTCCTCTTCCCCGCGCGGCGCCGCCGGGGAGCAGCGGCCGTCAGGGGGATGTTCTGGAGCACGTCGTGCAGCGTGAACATGCTGAAGGAGATCTGCTCGTAGGGAGACCTCATCCCGTTCTCGTAGAGGCAGGCGAAGGCGATGGCCGTGCCGCCGGCCACCGGCGCGTCCCTGTAGGGCAGCTCCATGTACGCCAGGTCCGAGTAAGCGCTCGGGCCCTCGTAGATGACCCAGGGCTCTGTCCAGCTCTCTGCGTCCCTGGGGAAGGTGCTCAGGTGAACCCCCATGTTCACCCGCGACATGGAGCTGGTGGGGTGGGAGTAGAGGATCCACGTTGGTGCTTGGAAGAAGGGAGTGGGGCTGGGGGTTGCTGCAGAGTCTCCCTGGACCGAGGTGACATTGTGGGAGTCATCGTGACGCCCTGGGGTAGGACAATCCCCGTGGTGGTTGCCAGCGGGCAGCTCAGCACCTCCTGCCTGTTGTGCGGGCGGGTGCCCAAACCCCCGGAGCGCCCCAGGAAGCAGCTGGCAAACTGAGCCTCGGGGGGGCATCCCGGTGTCCCGGGAGGCGGTGGGGACATACAGGAAGGGCGCGGGGAAGCCAATGACACTGCCGTGACAGCCGTGGGGGGGCTCCACCAGCCGCTGGACCAGCTGCCCGCCGTGGAAGACGGCCCCGTCATCCGTGCTGAGCGCCTGGACCCTGAAGCCCAAGGGGCTGCGGGCGTTGCAGTAGAGGACATTGGATCCGTCCTCCTCATCCACAGAGACCAGCTGGCACTCGCCCGTCTGCAGGTTGGGGATGAACTCCCCGAAGCGCCAGCCGCGGCCGTGGTCGTCGCTGTAGAAGGCGAAGGAGTGCGGGGTGGTCTTGCAGAGCTGCCCGAAGCACTCCTTGCAGTCGATGTGGTAACTGTAGGCGGGCACCAGCAGCCGGCCAGAACGCAGCTGGATCCCGTGCCCGGGGCCCAGCGCGAACGTCGCCCAGTCTGCAGAGCACAGATGGAGTGGGATGAGGGTGGGATGGGGTCAAGAGTGACCACCACGGTGCCCTGCCATGCCCAATGTGGAAAGGTCCCAAGGGCTTCCTCTCAGTCAAGCCAAGCCAAGTGGTGGGGTGGGAGGGCAGCAGAGCCCAGTGCTGCCTAGCTGTCCTCACACATGCTCCTACCCATGGCTATGGGGCCTCTCCGTCTTCTCCCCACTCCCAGTAACTGATACGGATACTCCCTCCATCCCTTCTCCCCTCTGCTTGAGGTACTCCTCCACCTTTTTGGAAGTTTGTGGGATTCCTATGTCAAAGTCACCCCCAGCAATGCCACTGGCGGCTTCAGGAGACCAAAACCCAGGGCCACCCCCATGCTGGCTGCTCTCCCCTCTCCTCACCCCCTGCAGCTGGGTACCTTTGATGGTCGCACCAATGACCTGCTGGGTCAGGTCTGTGGCTGTGCTCCAGCTCAGGCCCTGGTCAGCACTGGTGACACAGCAGAGGCGGGTGACATTTTGGCCAGTGACAATCTGGTAGGCTTCGGGTGTCCTGCCCAGCACCGTGATGAAGAAGAGGAAGAGGGTGCCCGTGAACTCATCGTAGAGCGGGCAGGGGTTCATTGACCGATGGTGCTGCAGCGTTGCTGTCTCCAGCACACGCATGTCTTCCCACTGCCAGGGAGGAGGAGGAGGAGGAGAGGACAGAGAGGGTAAGGACCATCACACTTTTTTGCCCAGAGCAGCTCTGGCTGCCCCATCCTTGAAGTATTCCCAGCTCCGCTGGACGTGGCTTGGAGGCAATCAGTGACAGCAGAAGGTGTCCGTGCCCATGGCAGGGCATGCAATAAGATGGCCTTTGAGATCCCTTCCAACCAAAACCAACCTGTGACCCTGTGATTCATTCCACCCATGCCAGCCTCCTCTCCCCGTGTGGCCGCCTCCAGCAGCCTGGCTGTGCCACACCCAAGCAATGGGGACAGCCCTCAGTGTGTCCCCAGGCCGGTGCCCCCGTCCCACCTCCACGTAGCTGCCGTAGATGGTGCCGCGGCGCAGCACCAGCAGGTTGGCGTGGGCATCGTCGGCGCTGAGCCGCTCCTCGGCGAACGCCAGCAGCTTGGCCACGCAGGGCAGGTAGAGCAGGGCGGGCACACGGTACGTGACACCGCTGGATTCCTTCTCAAAGAGCACGGTCCGGGCCGGGAAGTGCCGGGAGCCCATGGCAGCTGCAGCAGGTGGGGGGACATGGACATGGTGAAGATGGGGACACATGGGAAGGTTGGGCATGGACAGGGCTGTGGGGTGTCCTTGGAAGGGTTTAGAGTTTAACTTGGTGGGCTTGGGTCTGGGTAAGCCCCCGGGAGCAGGGGCTGAGGGGCAGGGCTGGGGTGGAGAGGGGCTGAGTGTGTCATCACAGCTCAGAAGTCCATCAGGGCATACGGGCCTGGGGATCCCAAAATAAAAATGAAATAAAATGAATTTGATCTTTAAGATGCCTGTCTGGGAAATCAAGGCTGGTGAGCAGAGAGCAGGGTGAGAGCTGCAGCTCCATGCTCTCTTCCAGCGGGCACTGGGAGGGCAGAGCCCACAGACGAGAGCTCCGGAGCAGCCCGAGCTCATCGTGACAGGGTCAGGGAGTGTTCCTGTGCTGCCTTCAGTACAATGGACCCAGCTGACCCCTTGTTCTCCCTCCTCTGTGGGGGGAAGCTGAGGTGCACAGCACCGACAGCGGGGTCCCCAGCTGGGCTGTCCCTGTCGCAGTAGGTGAGAGCTATTCCCAAATACCTTTCCTTCAGGGACAGGTCAGCTGTCCCCTGCTTATGTCCCTACATTTTCCTGGAGATTACCACCACAGAAGGAGATGGTCATCCAATCCAGGCTCAGGTGGAGCCACTCTCACCTGTGGTTTCATCAGGAGCTTTTGCTGATTCAACACCCCCCGGAGAAAGCGAAGGCACTCACCGGGTCCTGCTCAGCGGGAGTGTCCCCTCTGTCCCTCGGCCCCAGCACGGAGTAGCGCCGGCTTTCCGCAGAGCTGTCGCCTCACTGCTTCGCCGCCGCCCCCTCTCCTCCAGGGTCCCCCCTCCGATGGGTCACGGGGCTCCCACGGCGTGCCCGGCAGAAATCCCTGAGTCAGCAGCGGCGCTGCGGCGGAGCCCGGGGCACAAAGGCTCCGTTATGGGCTCGGGCAGAGCCGGGGCCCCGCGGCTGCCGAGCCACCTTGCTCGGATCCCGGGAGGGGAAGCAAGGGGATCCAAGAATCTCCTGCCTCAGTTTCCCTCCTCCTGCAGGCTGGGAGAGGCTGGACTTCCCTGTCAAGGGGCTCCAGCCCATGTTCACCACAGTCCACCCTGCGCAGAGCTCCCCAGCCTGGGAGCTGTGGTCCAGAGGGTCCCAGCCCTCCTGGGACCCCCAGCCCTCCCAGCCTCTCCAGGACCCCCAGCCCTATCAGGACCCCCATAACTACAGAATCCACAAACTTCCCAGGAACCCCAGCCCTCCCAGGATCCCCAGACTTCCCAGGACCCCCATGTGCACACAGATCAACTACTAAGAAAACATTTTTATACCTATATTCCAATAGTCCATCTCTGTGATCAGTTTAGCTAAAAGGGTTTGACAAAATTCATATGGCAAATCACGGATCAGATGCTCCAAGAGGAAAGCTGAGGTGGAGGCTGCAGAACTGCCTGGGGCCCAGGGTGACCATGTGTGGCTCCAGCAGCTCTGCCTGGCTGCTACAAAAGCCTCAGGTTCATTTTAGTGAAGCAAAGTGCTGTTAATATGGGTTGTTCCTGCTGGACACCTGGGCTGGTTAACCCCTGCCTCAGCTGCTAAACACAACTGAGGAAAATCCGGGCTCTGCTTCTCACCCCTCTCCCCCTGACAGCATCACTCCTGCTTCCAAGCTGGAGCTGCTGTCCCACAGCTTCACCCCCAAGGCAACACTGTGCCAGCCAAGTGACCCCAGATCCATCCTCCCCATCCTGCCATCCAGGGCCCTCCTGCTGTGGCAGGAAGGTTTGTGAGGATGGCAGCACCAAGCCAAATGGATTTGGTGTCACTGCTTGTCATCTGTTCCCAACACATCTGTTAGTGCCAACTTACACTGGTAAAACCCCAGCATTTTAAAGCTGGGCCAGCATCTCCTCCTGCTCGTGCTGGTCAGGGCAGCAGCAGGGACCTGGATGCACCAGTGTGCCCAAAGCTGTGCCTCACTCCATCCCCTCCTAATCCGTACCGGAGAGTTTGGCCAACACAGCAATGGGAGCCCCAAAAAAGTGTCTGCTTTGCCAAAAAAGGGCTTTGTGGATGCTGCACCCAAAGGTACATCCATGCCCAGGCAACCTTGCCTGAGATCGAGGGGCAAAACCACAAAACCTCCTCCCAGGGGAGCACCAAGCTCTTCCACATGTGACAGAGGCCCATTCACCTGGTGACACATGTGAGAGACACAGCTTACATGCCACTGGGCAAGGCAGCCTGGCTTTGGGCAGGATGCCTGGGACTCCCACACCAAAGGCAGCTCCAGCAGTGTGTGGTTAGTCCTCACTGAGCGTGGATGCTGCTGGATGGGACACCCACCATCTCTCCTGCTTCTCTGAGCACTGTGTCCCCTTGTCACACCCCCCTCACTTCCCTCCCCCTCCCCTAAACCCTCCAAAATCAGGACTTGCTCCAGTGAGCTGTGACCAGACTGATGCAACGATGGATATCAAATAAAATCAAATGAAGGCAAATCATCAACCTCCTGATTAATGATTAAGAGGCTGGAATGTCTTGGCCAGCTGCAGCCAGCCTGGCTCCCTCCAGCCAGGAGCAGGCAGGTGGGATCATCCAGGATCTGGACAATGCAAAGCCTTTGGCTCAAGGTCCCCAAAAAGAGACCAACCACCAACTTGGTGTCCCTAAACAAAGCCCCCACTGCCTCCCCCTCATGTACAGGAGTCCTGTGGGTCAGTTTCATGTCAGACAAGGGGTGATGCAAAGCGGTGGGAAGCCACAGTTGACACATGTCCTAGTTGGACCCTGGGAGCTGCATCTTCTCCTGGAGACTGGTCCACAGCAATGGCAATCCCACATCTTTCCTTTTCTTGTGCGGGTGTTGGACAGCATAAAGGTAAGACGTGTACTGGAGCTCTGGTATGACCATTTTCTGGCAGGTTCTCAGAGTCGTGTTGTCCAAGTCTTGTTTGATGTTGTAACCCAGGATATTTGCAGCCCCTGACTGGAAAGGTAGGAGAGCTTTATTCCTGATGTGATCCTTCCTCACTGCCTCCTGCTCTGAGAGACAAGTCTCCATGAGCTCCTTCTGTCTGGTCCGCAGGTGATCCACCTCCTTTTCCAGCATCTCCAGCCCTATGGTCTCCTCAATTCTCCTCCAGAAGCTCTGGTTGAAGTGCAGGTAGAGCTTCCAGTCCAGCGAGCACCAGGCTTTTATCTGCTCCTCACTTTCCGGAGTCAACGTCTGGACAGTATCCTGGCTTCTGGAATTGAGCTTGAAGTAAATCACATCATCCAGATCCCAGCACAAGGTGTGCTTCAAGAGGATCATGGACTCATCAAAGTAGTCTGCTATTAAGATGAGGTGGAAGTGCTGCTCGATCTCCTCCAGGACAGCCTGGGTGTAGTTCGTGTCATCCTCCGCGTTGTTGTCATAGCCGAAGTCAAACCACATGATATTCCTGGCGTAGATGTTTTTCCTGTAATCTGCTGGGTGGTAATACTTTGTGGGTGATTCCAGGAACTTGTTCACATCCTTGGAGCTCCTGAAGGCAGGCACATAGTCCTTGTAGTAGATGTAGGAAGACTCCAGCAGAGGAATGGGGTTCCTCAGGATGGAGAAGTAGAAGGTGTTGGCTGCCATCACCCTTTTTACCTATTTGTGGGAGGAAGAAGAGGTTAGTCCTGTCCCAGCCAAGTTTCTCCTCAGGTGTCATGGCTCTTTCTTACCTCCAAGGGGTTAAACCGCAGGTGATTGCACATGATGTTGTAATTTTGGCCTATGGTTTCAAAGCCCTCCACAAAGTGGGCCACGAAAGTCCTTGGGTATCCCAGGTGGAAGAGCTGGTCAGCAGGGAGGGCGACGGTGAGGTTGTACCTCTCTGCAAACCTGAACATGATGTTGAGCACAGTGCTGCTGGCAGTCTTGTGGGTTTTGAGGAACATGACGTTTGTCTTGGCATGGCACGGAGTGGGAGGGATCAGCAGCTCCTCGTGGCTCTTTGAGATTCTGCAGGAAGGGGAGAGATGGGGCAAAGAGATTCTCTGGTGCTGCACCCCATCTCTGAGACCTGGCAAAGCCAAACCCAGGGGCTCCCCTGACACCACACCTACAGCTGGTCCAAAGCTGCATGCAAATCAGCCCCAATCCTCCAGTGTAGATGTTTTCCCCCTCCAGTTTTCCCCCTCTCCAGACTCTCACTAAAAAGACTTCAGCTCAATCCCCTTTTCCCACACAGCTGATTTTGTCTCAAAGAGGCTGCGCTTTGGCTAATTCGATTCCTTCCCCAAACAAGCACCTAGTTTTGAGCTACCTCCCTTTGAACATGAGCCCAAGGCCTCATGAGAAATAAATCAGGTGTTAGAGGCCACATCCCAGCTGCTCCAGGTACAGGAAATTGTGCAACCTTGCTTCTGCCTCACTTACCTGTAATTCTTACTCTTCATACGGAAGAATCCCGAGAGGCAGGAAAGTCCCAGGCAGAAACTGAAAATGATGAGACACCTGGCATGCCTGGAAAAAAAGAAGAGTTTAAGTGGATTTTTATCCAATAATCCTTCCCCAAACCACCACATTTTGCATCTTGCCCTCAGGAATGTGAGCACAGTTTTATATCTCAGTTTTGGCAGCCACGTTTGGATCTTGAGCAGGTGTTAGCAGGCGTTAGAGGCAAGGCAGTGAGAAACTGCACTTTTTCTATTACCCTCCTAATTCAGCCTTTGGCAAGACACAGTGTGCTTCAGGCAGAGCTTAAGCTCTTCCCACAGCCTCCTGCTCTGCTTGGCTGCCTTTTGTTTTGCCTTTCTTTTGGTTTTCTGGGGCTTTAGAGCTTATTCACTATTCAAACTCCTAGATTATTCACCAGAAAACGAGCCCTTTGTAGGGGTATAAAGACTTCCCTAGTGAGAAACCTGAGCGGCTCCTGTAATCACATCACTCCAGAAGATAGGGATTGGGAAAAAACCCACTAAACTGAGGAAAAAAATTCACCAAACTGCGGGTCTTTTGCAATATAAGTACAATTTTTTCCAGATGGAAAATCAAATAACCTAACAGCACCTGTAATGGATTTATTACACCCCACTTTGAAATGGGGGGGGTGGATAATGATGAGGGAGGAGTAATTTCCAGCACCAATTAAGCAACCACGATGTATCAAGGGTTGCCTGCACATTGCAGGGGTGTGGAATGGCATGGTCTTTAATGTCTCTTCCAATTCAAACAATCCTATGGTACCATGATCATCACCAGTGTACTCCAGCTGGGACACAGAGGGGATCTTTTGAAGGCTTGATGCCCACCTAAAAGGAATTTTTCACTACCAAGTTTGATCTGACTTCTCTCACCCTAGAAGCTTTTTTAGCTCTGTGTGAATCTCATATTTGCAGACACGGCCAAAATACAGCAGATCTGGCTCAGGCTTTACACTGTTTTGAGAAGATATAATCCAAATTTATGGCATGGTATGGTCACACTTGTTTCCACCCTCCAAAAGGAGCAAGCAAGCCTTCAAGTCTTCCTCCAAAAGCCCTTTGGAAAGCCAGGGAAGACCCTCAGCCATAGCTGGTACCCATCTCTGATAGGAATTTGAAGCACAGCTTCTGCATGAAGAGTCTCAAGACAGACTTGCAGGCAAGATTTCATCAGGATTTCCTAATTTTTTGGCCCCAGGCCTGTTAGGGGGATGGGAGTGGGACAATCCCCTGTCCTTGGAGATGAGATGGGAGAAGAAAGGCGGAGGAGCTAATGGGCAGGGAGCAAGCTGCATGCAGCCCCCACACCAATCTTCTTGGTCTTTCATTTAAACTGAGGCTGCCTTCTATCTGATGGTTTTCCAAAGCACATCACCCTGTCTGCCTAGAGGTCCTCCCTAAGCTGACATCCTCCTGCTGCACGCTTTCTGTTGAGTTTAATGGGTGCAGTAACAGTCCATTTATTAATTTAGGTAGTGTCCCCAAAATGGCAACTCTGAATGATGTTTTATGAGGCAAACAAATCACATACATCCAAAACCATCCTGAAGGCAGATCCAGATCACAATATGCTCTAGAAGAACTATCAATCCCTTCTGCTGCAAGAAGACAGGCTCTGTAGACCTCTGCACCGTATCACCTCAAGGCATCCCACAATATCTTAGTAGTTGTTTACTTAAATAAATGATTACACTGTGCCATTCTGCCCCCAAATATTCAGACACATTCAGCACACCGAGCCAAACTCCAGCCTAACTGAATGCTCCCAGAGACCCATTTTATCTGGATGTGGCCCAAAGAAAACAACAGCTAGATTTTGTCCCTGGAGACACAGGGACAAATGAAGGTTTGAATTATCTAGGCCAAAACTATTTCTTCCTGGAATGGTCACTTTTAAGGAGCAAGAGTGACTGATCTCTGCAGGGTCCATGCAGGTGCCAGTCCCCACGCAGAAATGGCAGGCTCCTTGTCCCAGGGGTGACAAACAGTGCATTATCATGGCATGGTGCTTGTTCCTGTGCCTGGGCTGGATGGATGGATGGATGGATGGATGGATGGATGGATGGATGGATGGATGGAAAGGTATCTGCCTTCCAGCCCAGGGAACAAGCAGGGAGTGGTGACACGGAGGGAACTCTGCTGCCCCTCAGGCCAGTAAAGGCGAGGAAGGAAGTTGTCCAGAGAAAGAGTCAAGGGCAGGGATCAAGGAAATCCCCAGGGAGGAGTGTGGGAGACCCTGGGGATGAGAGGAGGGTTGCAGGTACCCAGGGTGCTGGCCAGTGCACTCATGGAATCCTGTCCCCATCACCCCCTGGGCTTGGCCACCCACAGTTACACTGTCAGGGCTGTCACTGGCTCCAGTGTGACATCCCCACACACACTGGGGGAAAAAGGTGGCTGAATAAACAAATCTCTCATGCAGCAAACTGATGGCACCTTTCCCTCCTCTTACAACAAGCCTCCATCATTTCTGCACATCTTGTGCTTGCAAACAAATGAGCTCTTGAAATGTTTCAGGGTTTTTACTGACAGAAAGCGAGTAGGATCTTCACCTGGAGCATACACAGTGTTTTGAACACAGTGTCACTGCTCTCCCAGAGAACAGCACAGGGCCAGTGTGGGATTTGCTACCAGACCTGCTTCCAGTATTCATTACAGAATGAGCAAGACATGACAACTGTTTGAAATTCTGCAGAGAATGATTACATCTCAGGCTCTCTGTGCTTCAAATGCATGTAATGGAAATTATGAGAATATTAAGAAGCATTTGGAAAATGCTCTCATGCACTTGGTGTGGTATTTGGGATTGTCCTTTGCAGAACCAGGAGCTGCACTCGATGATCCCTGTGGATCCCTTCCAGCTCAGAATATTCTGATCCTATGTCTGCAAACCTGCACTGGCATTTCACCCCCGCTTGGCCCCCACCACGCTGGCACATCTCTGTGAGAGCCTTAAGCTGTGTTCCCTTAGTGTCACACACCCCCTTTGTCACAACACTGCAAGTCTCTGACCTGCACAGCATCACGGAATTGTTTAGGTTGCGAAATACCTCTAAGGTCTGGTGAAGCAAAGTTCACGAGAGAAAGCCCAAATTTGAACGCTGCGCTGAAGTTACCTGAACGAGCCTGGAAGACCCTTAAGTGGCACATGGGAGCTGACTGCTGAGACACAAAATTCTAAGAAGCCAAAAAACCCACGGAACACTTGGCAAGGCTGGTGCCAGAGTTTCCACTTGCCTTTCCAGCCTGTGCTGTGCTATCTCCCCTCTGGGAAGAAAACATGGAAATCTCCCTCTCCTACAGGTGCAGCTATAGATGCTTTAAAGCTTGGGACCCCCTTCTTGTTCCTTTGGCTTAAGCTGAAAATAACAGACATCTATATCAAACGAACAAGGTTCTTTTAAATTAAAAGACCTGGAACGCAGACAAGAAATACCAATGGCAAAATGAATCCCTTCCCTGGAGCAAATTGTAACTAACTCTATAGGTTATTAACAACTTCCAGGGATTACTTAAACCAGACCTTCCTGCAAAGCAAGTTCTAGTTCGGCACCCCGAGCACTCAGCACCCTCTGCCCTTACCGTGGAGTGCACCCAGAGCTTTTCATGCTGCTGCGAGCTGGGAAATGTCTCCTTTTGCAAACCGACTCCAGTGCCTGTTTGTCTCCTCTGGCTCTCAGTGGCCAAGTCTCTATTTCTAGCATCCGTTCACTGCTATAAATGGCTGGGATAGGTGAGGACGAAGGGAGTGGCTAGGTGTTCCCAGAAGTGGGTGGGAGTTAATTAATAAGCCATGAAAAGTGCTGGTATCCAGGACATCAACACAGGTATTGAGAGCTGCCTCGGGACACGGCGTTCGCAGCAGCTGTGCTGGGAAGGAAAAGTTGAACCGGGATTCCTTAGAGGGGATCCCTTTCTCTCCTGGCTGCAGGAGGGAGGCTCACAGCAGGATCTGGGCAATCTGGGCAGCAGCTGCTGGAGGGCACTGGACCTTTGTCACCCTGCACAACATCACATCGCCAGGGGCCATGGTCAGTGCCTGCTGTCCCTTTTATCTGCTTCTTTCTCAGTGGGTAAGGATAGGAATTCCCTGCCGGACACATTTGGCAAGAGCTAATTAAGGACAACAGCAAAACAGGAATGGTGTTCACCTACGGAAAATTCCTCTTAAAACATTTAGACTTCAAAATTTTTGGTAAAAATGCAATTATTGTAGCTGGAGGTTAAGAGCTGAACAGACTTGGCTGTATCCAGGCCTTGGGAGGGAGAAATTTTGCCCCTAAAGGGGCATTATTTGATGCTTTATCTCTGGTGTCATTTACTGTTACGGTTCATATTATGCAAGAATTTTAGATTCCACTGAGGCTGCTGTACACCAGGACTCCACAAACTGGGTTTGATGGCTGCAGTTTGTGTTGGGAGAGCGAAATCTGTCCTGCAGGTCTGGAGGTGGGGTCACCTCCCTGCTGCCCATACTGGGATGAAGCCAGTGCTCTCCTCATTTGGGCAACTAAAAGTGTACCCACATCTCCCAGCCTGGATTAGGGGGCATTGAGTTGTTACTTTGGTCTTTTATAGCCATGCTGAGTTCCATGCACCTCCTGGTGGTCCCCTTTCCCTCCCCACACACAGTGTCATTTCCCTTCTAACCCTTGTATACTGTTGGCCCCCCACCAGCAGCCAAATCCTCAGCACTCCAGGATCCTTCACCTACGTTGCTGCATTTCCCGAGCACCCAAATACACAGCATTTCTTTTTAAATCACAGCTTCCCCAGACCAGCCCCAAGTCCAGCGCTTACCAAGATGCAGAGATTAGCAAGGTGTAGGGTTGCTTTCCTTGAGTTTCTTGGTAGAACCTGAGTCAATGTGCTCTTTTATGGAGAATTTCTAGGGTTACTCTTGGCATAGCACCAGCTGCTGCTGGCAGGGGGGCACATTTCAGCGACCTCTTTCTCCTGTTACATTACACACGTCAGCTGTGCCATTTCTCGCTCAGGGGTTGGTAGAGCCCACGGATCACAAAAGCCCATTTTTTACACTTTTACAATTGATTCATTGCTCTCTCCTGGGGTGTCGTACACGAATTGTCAGCTTTGGTTACACCAAAAAAAAAAAAAAAATTATGCCAGGCACGAATACTTGTCCTCATGTGGAGGCGGGTTGCTCAGAGACTGGGGCATTGAAGGGCAGCCAGGTGACACAGAATTAGTGAGCTGGGGTGAGATTCATCACTCCATCCTGCCTCTGCTTCCTGTTGGGGGTCTGGCCTTGGGGGAGTCGGCCCCTTGCAGCAGGATGGGGAGAATCAGAAGGTGGAAATGCAAAAACTTGTGGGTTGTGACAAGGGCAGTTTAACAGGCAAAGCAAAACCTGCACAAGCAAGCAAACCAAAAGGAATTCGTTCCCGGCCTCCCGCCGCAGGCGGGTGTTCGGCCATCCCAGGAAAGCTGGGCTCCATCACGCGTAACGGTGACTTGGGAACACCCCCCTTCCTCCTTCCTCCCCAGCTTTTAGTGCTGAGCATGGTCTCCTCCGGTGTGGGAGACCTCTGTGCTCAGTCAGGGTCAGCTGTGTCTCCCCCAGCTCCTTGCACACCCCAGCTCCACGCTGGTGAGGAGCAGAATAGACCTTGATGTTGTGTAAGCACCACTGAGCAACAGCTACAACATTCCTGCGCTTCCATCGCTGATCCAAACACAGATCCAGACCAGCCACTGTCAAGAAAATTAACTCTATGCCAGCCATAATCCTGTACAGAGAGGCAAAAACAGTAGAGTGAGACAAGTCCCTACTGTGCCAGAAGAGCACTGGTTCTTAAGTGTGGAGCATTCACAGCTTTCTAGTATTTAAGTCTGTCTCAGAAAAATTAGAATTTTGGACAAGAAATTCCTGTCACAATGATTCTTTCTAAAAATACACATACATGTACCCACCCTGTCTCTCCCTCCTAAAAACAACACTGCACCATTATGTGAAAGCATCACTGAGAACACAGAAGTAAAGTCTAGGAAAGATAGCCCTACACTAACTCCTCCTTTGCATTCCCCCAGGGAACTGCTCTATTGTTTAGTGAAACAGTAAAACTTAACAAGCTTTAAGATCTTCAAGTGTAAGGAAGATGGTTAAATGGAGCTATGCCAGAACTTCCCTGGCCACAGCACAGGGTTGTGTGTCTCCCTCCCAAGAACCCTCTCTGTATACAGCTGAAAAAGAGAATTATGGAAAGTTCCACTTCCCAAAAGGAGCCTTTCATGTGGAAAGTCTGTATTTTACACAGTGATGGTCACTAGTTTAGGGGGAAAAAAAGAAAGAATGGTGTAGGAAAAGGGCAGAAAATATAAACAGCCTGATCCGGAAAGAACTAGCTGCATCAGCCTATCCTGGCAGAAAGCAAATCCTGCATTTTTCTTTTCCAACGACATCATGGACTTCTCACAGCTTTTCATCACCCCACACCTAAGCAGCACAGGCTGACTGTGTTGCACAGGCTGTCTTCTCTTTTCACAGAGCACAGAATTCCAGAACCATTTGGGTTGGGAGAGACCTCCAAGACCATTGAGTGACCAATGTTCACCTTGTAACCAGCCCAGAGCACTGAGTACCATGTCCAGGTATTCCTTGAACACCTCCAGGGATGGAGACTCCAGCACCTCCCTGAGCAGCCCCTCCCAATGCCTGACCACCATTTCCATGACAAAATTCTTCCTCTTTGCAAATGATGGCATTGTTCACTTTGCTTCACCCCAGAAGAGGACAATCAGCTCCTCTCTGACTTGTCCTGAAGGATGAAGGGAGAGGAGGGGAGTGTGCCATAGTGGAGAGAAAGGGCTGAATGGACAAGAGTGGAGAGCAGGCCATGGAACACATGGAGGCTCTCCCAGCCCACCCTCGTGCTCAGCATTGCTCCACCCTGGGTGCAGAACCCAGCACGGGCACTCAGCAATTCTGTGCCACTGGCACTGCCCCGTGGTGCATCTGTGCAGATCCCTCTGCAAGGCCTCTGGTCCCTTCAGAGAGTCCACAGCACTCCCAGCATAGAGTAACAACAGAGTGGTTTGTGTTGGAAAGGACCTGAAAGCCCATCTCATTCTACTTCTCTGCTATCGGCAGGGACACCTTCCACTAGACCAGGTTGTTCCAAGCCCCGTCCTTTTGGATTATCACTCCAGGTTATCCCAGATATTAAAACCTCTCTGTGAGAGCAAATCACGATTTGCTGTGAAGAGCAGACTGGAATTCAAGAAAGCAGGAAATACTGGCATGCCTAGAGCCTGCCCCTGCTCAAGCAGGAGGGCTGGGATCCCCTCCCTCATCCTGGCTGCTGCTACTTCTCCTCCAGTTAATAAAATCCAGAAGCTGGGTCTCCAGCACCATCTCTTCTCTGGCCAGTCCTTCCAGCACTGCAAACCTGTACATGGGACAACACTGATGCTTATTTGGGAAAACCTGGAGGTGGCATCACTATAGAGGCCATAGCCAGATGCTGGTGTGGGCTTTGGGATAAGTGTATTAGATAATAAGTGAGGAAGTGTCTCAGGTTTAGGTGGGTGCATATTAAATTACCATCTGTTAAAGGTAAGGCAGTTCTCTTCTGTTCATGGGGCAGTTTTCTTTATCTCTCCCACAGCCAATCCTCCCTCCAGCAGATCTCTGCTGTCCATGGCCAGGGAGTGTCCCTGCAGGGCTGATCTAATTCCAGCATCCCATGGGGGGATTCTCCACCCAGGGCAGGAGCCAGGCATTCCTACCTGGATACAATCTGAGCCTGGAACAGCACAGCAGCCTTTGCCCACTGCATTCCCAGAGGAGCAGCTTTCTCCTGCTCTGCATTCCCAGAGGAAGAGCAGGCCCATCTCCAGCAGCCCTGGAGCTTCAGAGGAAAACTGCAGCCTTGTGCAGGATCCCTGCTCCAGCAGAAGCACAGCTGGCACTGCAGGAGGGCTGAGCCCCCATGGGATGGGACTGTGCCACCACCCTGACCCACAAGAGTGTCAGAGCATATTCTGACTCTGGCAGTGGTTTCTTTTGTTTATTTGTACTATTGCATTTGTATTTTAATTCTCCTAGTAAAGAACTGTTATTCCTATTTCCGTAACTTTGCCTGAGAGCCTCTCAAGGTTCAAAATCATAACAATTCAGAGGTAGGGGGTTTACATTTTCCATTTCACAGGAGGCTCCTTCCCTAGCAGACACCTGTCTTTTTCAAACCAAGACAGGAAAAGCAACACCTTCACTTGGAAGACTTACATCCACAGGTTCTCCTGTGCCTCTGATGCTTCACTTGCACAGCCCAAGTGACAAAATGACTCCTTTGGCTGTTGTCACTGATAAATCAGAGCAAACCCAAGGGGAGAGAGTGTATGAATACTTATACACTAACAGCATCTCTGTGCTTGGTTTCAGTGCTCAAACTAAGTAGGAAACCCAGCAGTGTGCTCTTCAGCAAGAGCAGGCACCCCCAAAAATAGCAACCACATTCCTTTACTTGTTCCACGCCACCAACAAAATCAAACACGGAGCACTCCACGTGCTTGCTGATCCAGTGTGCTTATGGTCCAAGTGCAGGTACAGAGCTGGAGCTGCCCTGCTCTGCTGGCTCCTGAGCATGTGCTCCTCTAGGGAGCTGAGGGCAGAGTCTTGTAGGGGTTGAGGATCCCTTTGGGGTCCAGCATGGCTTTGAACCGCTGCATGAGCACGACTGCCTGGCGAGGTTTGCTGTACTGAATGAACTGCCTCTTCTTGAAGCCCAGCCCGTGCTCCGCACTGATGCTCCCGCTGCACCTCGCAGTCCACTCGTACACGAAGGGCTCGATGGCATCCAGCAGGGAATGGCTGTAGGACTCCGCCGTGATATTCAAGTGCAAGTTCCCATCTCCTGGAAGAAAACATTGCACAGGTGGGTCAATGGATACTCATTCCTGGCTCCTCCACGTTCTCAAACAACAGGGTCTTTGTTAGTCTGCAAAGTGTGCAAAAAGGACAAGCTCACTGTCCTAGAAACATCAGTCTCCCCGTGCACAAACAATTTAAATAGGATCTTTGCTTTTCCATGCTCCAAGTGCAATATTTGAGGAAAGGTTCTGAGTTAAGCTGCTTTCAAACTCCAACTTTTGTGATTTTCAAATTCCCACTGTGCTGCATTAATGTTTGTGCCACCACCGTGATGCAATGACAAAGACTTGCTCAATGGCATTTCATAATGATCATTAGATTCTAACATGGCCCTTCATCACTTTTTCTCTCCCTATTATGTTTGTGCAATACTCTAAATGTGCTTTGGCACTGTGTCAATAGAAACAAAGAAAGCAGAACAATTTCCCCTTTTGTCACTGTGTGTGACAGTATTTGATTAGGCACGGAGATGCTGGGTACTCCAAAAGACAAAACACACAAAGAAAAATACAACTTACTCATCCTCCTCCTGCATCCTAGCAAACCCTCACTGCACACAGCTTAGTCCTCAAAGAGTTACCAACAGGAAGCCTTTGTTATGCAACGTGTCTTTCAAATGATCCCTAACCAAGTGTGCTCTACAGCGTTCCATGGTTTTTTGTAACAGAACAGGTCTCCTAAAGGACCAGTTTACCTGCTCGTAAAATCAGATAAGTTTCCCAGCATGCTGACAAATCTATCAGCCTTTCTGTGCATTTATCATCACCACTCTCTGTTGGAGGGTTAATGGCTCACAAAAAACTGATTTCCAGTAGGATTAATCACTTTGGACAAGAAAGTGGTTATCTGCCAAGTATGTCTAAGTTCATCAACCAAACTGATGGTCCAAAAGAACAAAGTACACAGCAAGAAGATACAGATCACCGTGGCTCACTGGCCAGCAACCTGCCATCAGTATATGGAAAACAGCCTGAAAGCAGTGAAATTCAAACACAAAGATCCTGATGCACCCTCCTCTTCCACAGCCCTCAATTTAATCCTCTCACCCACAGCACAGAAGGACTATCACCTCCTTTCCCAGCACCCCCACTGTAAAAAATGCATATTTTATGATTTTTTTGCAAATATTAAAATTAATA